AATATCACGGCGGGGGACACCAGAAATGGGCTTAACACATTGTGCCCATGTGGGGAATCGAACCCGGGTCTTCGGCGTGACGAGCCAACGCTTTAACCACTAGGCTACCCCACCGCCCCTGAAAGCTATTCAAGATGCATGTGGTTGTAATTCTGTGATTACATTATCTGATATTTTAAATGGCATTGCAGATCTGACAAATACAAATGAAATTATATTAAAAAATGTACATCAATATATATGCAAATCTAAACTATTCCAGTAGTCTTCTCTCTATACACCTTTTGTATTATAACATTACCCCCTGAACTCCGTGTCAATCTTTCTCTGTCTCTGTTTCTAATAATTGCTTGTGATATAATTAGTTATGTAAATATCTTTGGAAAGGGGTTTTATAAGTTGAAAGAACTTGTCCCTGATCCTTTTCACATTGTGAATAAAATATGTTTAAACTAAAACACATCATAATTAGTGGTATTCATTAAGTATATTCAGCACCCATAGCTCAGCTGTGTCAACCAGAAGACTTATAGCAGCTAATAAGAGGGCAGTGTTAGACAATGATCAGAAGCCTGTATAGTATAGATCACTTAGTAACTTAGTACATTAATATATCAAGCATTAACGTGAAACATCATTTACCATGGGCATAACTGTTATAACCCTAACCCCTGACTAACCCTAACCTAACCCTAACCCTAACCTAACCCCTGACTAACCCTAACCTAACCCAAGAGAAGAGAAGGGGTATAGTCACAGTAAACTTAACAGCTTACGGGTTAGGTCAGACCACAATTCACATGCATGACCCCGGGTCATCGTTACAGTGGACTTGGAAGGACAGAGTTGTTACCCATGTTAAGCAAAGATATGCAAACTTCAATCAAGAATGTGTATAGTTTTTTCAAGAATGAAGCCGAAAGAGGATACCCTTTACAATGTATCACCAAATTTATAGAAAGAACAGTGGCAGCATTAAAAATGAAACGTTCAACACTTTAGGTAATTGACACGAATCCTTTAGGGACCGTCTCAAAATCAAAGACTTCAGTAAAGTTGGATGCTTTCATATAGTTTGAGACTAATCAGGGACCTAATTCACCGTTTTTATCAGAGAAACCAACATCTCTCATCATGAAACTGAAGAAAACTCTTGAAAATGAACACGACATCCTCAATACCAGATTAACAATATGTAAATTATTGGTGAAATTCGGATTTCGTTATGAACAAATATCCAGCACAATAGTTTTACTCTGTGAAAGAGGTAATCTCGTAAGTGTTTTTATTCTTTACTGCTTTTGAGACGTACCCTTGATATAAACATGTGAACCTGAATCCCATGCTACTGTAACCAGAGGTCATGCACATGAACTGTACGCTGACCTAACCCGTAAGTTAAAACCAAATTAAAACTGTTTTTCTTATTTCATCAAAGGCGATCATTAAGATATATGTTAATGGCATGTGGTCAAATTGGTGTTATTTGGAAGATATTTCAAAAAAGGGTGTCCCAAAAGTTGGGCTGACAGACTAAACAAACCAGTCAGTGCCATGACTGCAATACATGACTGTTGCTTGTATTTCCTACAGCATAAACCATATTCTCTTGATCGGACTCCATCAGACTGAAATCTGAAAGCTCTAGATGCAGAGATGCCAACCACCCCTGAGTCAAATGTAAGCAGAGTCATGCCTTGCCAAAAGCAATTCCCAAGTCCTGAAGGTGTGAGTTGGGGGTGAGCGTGAGAGGGGGTCGGGCCCCTTTTGACGGTGGGGGTCTCCCTTATGAAAATCTTTAGATTGAGCCTGGAAATATGCAATTTCTGGCCATACTTAACCAGATAATACTTAACTCAAATGAACACATTTAAATGGCTATTTACTAAATTTCTTTCAAACATTCTAAATTTAAAAACATATTTGTATTTCTAAAAAATCGGAGCTTTTAATAGACAAATCGGATTTTGTATTTGAAACTCGGAGTAACTCCTCCAAAATCGGAGTGGTTGGCATCTCTTAATAAGAGGAACCCACCTCATCACTGGCATGGCAGCTGTGAAGAACTTGTTTAAACAATTAAGAAAAGGACTTGTATGACACTGGATTCCCTTCACTATCATTGTGACAAGTTTATTAGGGGGACTGATATCCAGCACCAAGTCTATGTATGTGAGATTCAGAAAATGTACATCAACCCTCAAAAATCAGGATTTTCTATACATGTTCTGTTAGCAAAACAGTCTCATCTGGTGGGAGATAAAATCCTCTTTATTCTACATTTCTACTACCATTCTTGTACAGGGTTATTCCAGCACTAAGACCGTGAAAAATAATACAAATGTTTCTCATCACAAGCTTACAAATAGTAAATTAAATAAAATTGTTTGCAGCAGGTGGAAATTTAATACCAAGCATCACTCTGAAAAAATAAAAGCAATGACAAATTGTTAATGTTCCATATGATGACAAGAAACATTTTTATACTTTTCCTGGCCTTACGCGTTTACACACATTCATTAATGTACATCTCGGTTACATGTAAAACATCATATCTTTACATCAAATATGTCATAAATACTTGCATTTATACATTGTTCTATATATTGTTACAACTTATCTATGTTGATTGTTTACATAATAAACACATAAAACATAACAAGAATGATTTCGACATTACATACCACACCGCTATATATTGAATATAGTCCACACGTTTTGTCATTTAAGCTTTTGAGACAGTTACCATCACAAGGATTATACAAAAAATCACATTGGGGAATAAAAAGCCTTCAAAAAGGTAGTCATCAATAGATGACTTTTCATTGATCATGTGGTCGAAATTCTGATGATAGGGGGTGCGGAGTGGTAGCCTAGTGGTTAAAGTATTTGCACGCCATGCCGAAACCCAGGTTCGATTCCCCACATGGGTACAATGTGTAAAGCCCATTTCTGGTGTCCCCTGCCGTGATATTGCTGGAATATTGTTACAAGCGGCGTAAAACCAAACTCACTCACTATTGTTACAAAATGAAAGTGACCTTGTGAATACACTGATTCAGGGGATGCCTGAATTGAGTTATTTCATATTTTCTCATTTTCTCCAATATAGGTAAAATCAGTGAGCGAAATAGTTTCCAAATGAACCTAGCCAGTCAGGCTAGCTATGTCGGAAAGTTACTAGCACACAAAATAAATTCACTAGCCCGAAATTTGAATGTAGACACGGGTGTCATCATTAAGGGACGTCATCATTAAAGGAACGTTCATGATGATGATTTTAAGGGGGGTCACCCATTTTGTTCTGGAGAGTTGGGGTGGTGGGGGTGAGTGGGTGCGGGGTTCATCAATTTTGTACACATGCTCTAGGGGGGTCAGCAAATTTTGTACATAAAAATATCAAGAAATTATGCTTAAAACCTATGGGATGGGGGAGGGGGTCATGATTTTGTACATGACATGCAGGCAGGATGACTTACTTTGTACATTAATTTTAGGGGGGGTCATTTACATTGTACATGCTTCTCCATAAAAATCATCATTTCCCCCCCAGCCATAAGTTATGAACGGTCCCTAAGCTGCTAATATGATGAACATTTTGAAAAGGCCATAATCGTGCATGATTTAAAAGTGTATATAACTTAACAAGTCCGCGAGACTGATATATTTATAAAACAACCCCATGAAAACTCACCAGCCATTCGAGACAGTAACTGTGGAGATTATACTGGCCCGACTGGATTTTTACTAGCCACGGGCTGGCGGGCCAGTGGCTATTTAAGCACACTGGGTAAAATATAAAGTAACAGACACTCTTAACTCAGAATTACACACTCCCAGTCAATCAGTATTCACATCAAAGCTGGGGTCTGAATTCATCGACACAGGAATGATCTATGATACTTCATACACCAGGCTCTAAATACATGTGTTAGTTTGGTTTGGTTGTTGTTTTACGCCACACTCAGAAATATTCCACCTATATGGTGGCGGTCTGTACATAATACAGTCTGGACCAGACAATCCAGTGATCAACATCATGAGCATCAATCTACAGAGTTGGGATACGATGAGATGTGTCAGCCAAGTCAGCGAGCCTGACCACCCAATCCGGTTAGTCTCTGAATACACGAACAAACTTGGGATGCCCGGCTTGTAATATCACTAAAGGGCCAGAGTTTAAAAGTAAGTAAAAGAAACTAGGACTGGCTAAAATTATAGATAATCAGAAATAACATCGATAGAAAATACTATCAATGATTATCAATATGAAAACTGTAATTAAGAAATACACTTCGCTCTACCACCATGTATTTCTTTTCTAAGATGCATTTATACTTTCTACAGATAATTACGATTAATTTAAGGCAGAAAACAAACGACGGTGTCGGTGACCTAAATTAAGAATCCTCGCACAGGCTAACTGGCACGCTGTTCCATTGAAGTGTCTGCCCCTTATGTTAAGACGAACGTTACCAGAAAAAAACAAATGATAACAGTTTGATGACGGTTTACGTTCGGATTAAATATCTTCTCTGAATTATTTTAATTACATCTGTCATTAACGTAAACCATATGGGGCACTATGAACGTTGCATTTCCACTACCAACAAGTTTGGATCAGTACATCCAGAGGAAGTTGAGTAGTCAAGCGACATTCCACAATTGCATTGTGGGAATGTAAACATTACGAACGTTACCGTGTCGCTGAAAACTTGTGAGTCGAAATGACACATTTTAACAGTCATAAAACATAAACGTAATGTTTCCACCAGTGATGTTAGCTACGTGAAGCAACAGCAAACCAAGAAACTGGATGCAACGGTGTAGTTTACTGTAGGAGGCCGTACGAGGCGATGACAACTGACATGCATCGTGATGTCGCTTACATTGTGACGTAATGTAAAATGGTTCGATTACGAGGGGGCACACTAGAATGGCGCAGTGACGGGATAACGTCATTCAATTGTGACGTCATCAAAAAACTACACCTTTATTGTCTGATAATGTATTTTTTTTCGATTGTTCTAACCTATAGGCATCTTAGAATTGGTAATATCGTACATTAAATTCACGCATTATATACAAATGTAGGACTTTATTCATGGTTTGCTTCTAGCTTACGTTCAGGACGCTGATTTATTAATAATCTGTGCAAAAACATGTCACCACACAGCAGTGATGTCAAATATAATAACTTCTTTCTGACATGTTTGCTCGAAGTTTTGACTCTGATATTTATTGATAATCAATCGATTTTTACTTAATGATTACAAATCGCCAAGACTTATTTCAATAGCCAGTCCTACAAGAAACACACAAGAGGCTATAGTATGTTTGCAGTGAAAACGTACCGATGAATTTCACTTTAAACAAAAAAGTAAATCAAATAAAGTGAAATTAAGATTGCAAATCCTCATAAGTTTAGCTTGCCAACTGAACATTTCAATCTCAGAATTTTATTCATCTTAGGATAAAAGTTGCTTAACAAATGATCATACGTTCAATTCGCTATTATTGGATTGTATTACAAGGGGGTAAACGTAGTAGTTGGAACAGTGAAACAAATGTATGTGTGGTACGTGATGAACGTTAACTTTGACCAACCCGACTTGTTCTCGGTGTTTCATTTTATGTGCATACCCTCGATTAACTTTTTTGTTTAAAGTCAAATTCATCGGTACGTTTTCACTGCAAACAGACTATGAGCTGTTGTGTGATTGATTATCCGGTCTGTTGTCGATGTTCTAACTCTTCTTCCATCTCCTGCTGCCTAATCAGCTCCCAGTAGAGTCCTTTCTTCTCTTTCAGCTTGCTGTGTGAGCCCATCTGAGGACAAAGAGACACACTTGGAGACAAGGGAAAATCAGAAGTCCAAGCAAGGCCAGTTCAAACTTTTCTAACACTTTTTTGTGTCAGAGAAGATGAGAGTAATGTCCAACAGTTAACAGATCCAGAAAGTAACAGGAAGTAGGTCCTAGACAATGGAGTGGTCTCCCTTTAACCTAATTCTGTACAATGACTGTAGGATATTTTAAACTTAATTACAACTAAATTTGACAAAGAAGACAAATCCAGCTAGGAATATTCCACAGCATCTGCAAAACCATTTTTGTGAAACATAAGATTTCATGATGCTGATTTACTGTGCTCTTTCAGACAAGTGTATTTCGCACACTGACCCGCCAGGCAATTGAATGTTTGATCGAAAAGACAGTTGATTTGACCGAAAGGTATGGCAACCTGAAGGTGGCATTCTAAATTTCTAAATTTGTATTTTAATTTCGGAAAGTGGTAGGGGTGCGTGGACTACAGGGTGGTTTGATTGGTAATTGTTTTGTTTGTTGTTATGTTTTGTTTATGTATGTGTTTTTTTGTCAGGTTACATGGTTTGGGTTGGGTTTTTTTAGGTTGGCACTAGTTGGTTATGTGGGATTATATGCAACCTAGAAGGCCAGTGTTCATTAGAAATATACCTAAGGCTTTGAAGGTTTGGGCTTAGTAGTGTTAGGTGTGTGTTAGGTGTGTGTTAGTGTCCAGTGATCTCAGGAGCACCATTCTGCATTGTACAGTGTGGCAGGACATGTTCGAGCATTTCTGTATCATTGCAGTGTGTGGATGGGAATTTAATTTGGGTGACCTGTAATCTGGTTATCTCGCAAACAGGTCACCCAAATTAAACCAAAGATCTAATGGATCTTATAAGCGGCCTACAGACCACGCATGGGTCTGTCACATCACCATTCAATTGGCAACTCAAACACAAGACTGGCTAATTAAAGGCACAATAACACACATTTTTGATAATAATTTGGCCTATATTTTATACATTGGGGGCATATGGACTCACTTTAGTTTCCTACTGATGCAATAAAAGATGTATTATCCCGTACGACTCGCCTGAAATCGATAATTGAAACTTCGAGGTGAACAGATTCCAAACAGATAACACTTGCCATATATGGAATGTAATCGATTGCTTCGTACATCGAAAAATGTTGCATGCAGTGTTGTCGGTGTTTACTAACTGGTTTCAATCACAAGTTGTGCGTAGGACATTCATAAAGATCACTCTAAGGGAATAACTCTATAGGGGCTCACTTGAAATAATGTTCGGCCGGTAGAGGACGCGAGAGTCGATTTAATGTAACGTTGTATTAATTCATTCGAACTTTTTAGTTTAATATTGTAATCTAAATACGTAGTATTTTAGGGAGAATTATATGGTAGCTTCCCTGAGAGCTGATAGTTAGTATTATTTTGAGTGAAATGCATTATGTATTTTTAGAGAAATGTGGTGTGACATTGTGCCTTTAAGTGTCAATAGGCAATCCTGGCAAGTTGGATCGGGTCAATCCAAAAAGCACTTTCCTTGTCTGCTGTAACCTTTTTTTGTGACCTATTCCAATTTAGCAAATTATACAAACTAACTCAAATTACGTTTTAACTAGCTACTAAATAACAAAATCTGGAACTACATTACAGCTGTAACACCAGTTCAATACAACAATAGGATTCTATAAATAATATACTTCCCATCAAAAGTTTAGACTCACTAGTGTAAATATAGCCACTTACTTCCGGCAACTGTTCTAAACTACATTTTGCAAAATATTCAACACTGTTTGAAGGTATGGTTTACACATGAACTGATGTATTGTAAAACAAATTGTTTTGATTATTGAGGTGAGGTGAAATTGGGTTTTACGTCGTGCTTGAGAATATTTCGCTCATATGACGACATGCATGCGAGTGTATGTGTATGTGCGGTTGCTTGTACTAGCCCAGACTGAAGCTGGTTTTATAGTGCTAGCCCACTGAGATACCATGGCGCAGTGAAGCATGAATACCCCACTCAGACACACTATACTGACTCCAAGCCGACCAGGTCTTGTTGTACCCATTAATGCCGAGCGCCAGGCAGGGACCAACAAGTACCATATTTTAACGTCTTTTGGTATGACGCAGTCGGGGATCGAACCCGCGACCTTCCGCTCTCCGGGCGGACGCTCTAACCACTACACCACAGAGGCGGTGGTTTTGATTATTGTCATGAATTCAATAAATGATATAAATCAGTGAAAATTGGCGAATTCTTTCCACCAAAACTCAGCTGTTCACATGCATGTTTGGGTGGTTTGTTGCTTAACGCTGCACTCAGCAAAATATTTCAGCTATATGACGTCAGACTGTAAATAATCGAGTCTGGACAGACACTTCAGTGATCAACAGCATGAGCATCGGTCTACACAACCGGGATACCATGACATGTGTCAACCAAGTCAGCAAGAAAGATCCCCTCTTAAGACAAGCAAGGATTGTTGTAGGGTTCAGTCTGAGGACAGGAACAGAAAGAAGCAGTCAGTTTACTTCATGGTATTTCATGAATGGAAAACATAAGATACAAAAGCAAGCTACTGATATTAACAGTTGTTCTGTGACGGACATTGGTAATTTGATTGCCAAGATGGCCATATTAAAAATCAGATTATTATTGACAACATGTTTCAAGGACACCATTGCTGGGTCCAAACAAAATTTCAGCTTCACTGACCAAGAGATTTTAGAAGAGAAGAAATTCATGAAATCAACATAAACGAGGAAGTTTATAGGCATCCCCTTTTACATTACATGCCTATGTAATACAAGCAACTTCTCTCAACATATACCAGGAAGGTGATGGTCTGCTGACACTTGACAAAATGTTGCTAATAATAATCAACAGGAAACACACACAATGCCCTTGCAACTTAAGTCAAGTGTTGTCACTCTATTGTTCGGATCTGGGTTAGAATTGATCTTCAGTAACCCTTGCTTGTCGTAAGAGGTGACTAATGGGATCGGATGGTCAGATTTGCTGACTTGGTTGACACGTGCCATCATATCCCAATTGCGTAGATCGATGCTCATGCTGCTGATCACTGGATTGTCTGGTCCAGACTCGATTATTTACACTCACTCACTCATTTAAAGGGTACACCTCTGCAGTCAGTTTCCGAGGCATTCTCCAGGAATTCCCAGGCATTTCTTAAGGAATGCCCTGGGCTCTCCTGAGGAAAAGTTGCATTTGGTTTAAATTATTTTACTTGTACAAGTGTTGCAAATTGATATAACTTTGTCCTGCTATTACTGAATATGATAATAAAATATCACAATATTGAAAACTTCATTCTGAGTTGATTCCTGGTTTTGAACCAGCCTGGTTTTGAACCGCTTACTAGCTTGGCGGTTTTATCCACTAGCCTACAAAGGATCGCCGTGAAGATCATGATTGTTTGTCAGTATGAGCCATGTGTTCCTCACAAGACAGGTAGTTCGGGCAGCACACGCCTAGGACACTGATAGCGTATGCAGAGAACTTGCTTTGCACATGCAGGGCAATTTATCAGCCGCCAGTCACATCCTAGTTGATTTCAACAGTACTAGGATGTACAGTATAAGTGCAACAGAAAGTAAGCTTATCTGACCTCCCTAATTTCCCTCTGCCGCGGGCCTATTTTTTCAGACAAACCCCAATTTCCCTCTGCCGCGGGGCTACTTTTTCAAACAATCCCCTATTTCCCTTCTGCCGCGGGCCTACTTTTTCAGACAATCCCATATTTCCCTCTGCCGCGGGCCTACTTTTACAACAATCCCCACTTTCCCACTGCTGCGGGCCTACTTTTTCAAACAATCCCCAATTTCCCTCTGCCGCGGGCCTACTTTATCAAACAATCCCATATTTCCCTCTGCCGCGGGCCTACTTTATCAAACAATCCCATATTTCCCTCTGCTGCAGGCCTACTTTTTCAAACAATTTCCAATTTCCCTCAGCCGCGGGCCTACTTTTTCAAACAATCCCCAATTTCCCTCTGCCGTGGGGCTACTTTTCAAACAATCCCCTATTTCCCTCTGCAGCGGGCCTACTTTATCAAACAATCCCCAATTTCCTTCTGCCACAGGCCTACTTTTTCAAACAATCCCCAATTTCCCTCTGCCGCGGGGCTACTTTTTCAAACAATCCCCAATTTCCCTCTGCCGCAGACCTACTTTTTCAAACAATCCCCAATTTCCCTCTGCCGTGGGTCTACCTTTTCAAACAGTCCCCAATTTCCGTCTGCCCCGGGCCTACTTTTTCAAACAATCCCCAATTTCCGTCTGCCGCGGGCCTACTTTATCAAACAATCCCCAATTTCACTCTGCCGCAGACCTACTTTTTCAAACAATTTCCAATTTCCCTCTGCCGCCAGACTACTTTTTCAAACAATCCCCTATTTCCCTCTGCCGCGGGCCTACTTTTTCAAACAACCCCATAATTCCCTCTGCCATGGGTCTACCTTTTCAAACAGTCCCCAATTTCCCTCTGCCGCGGGCCTACTTTTTAAAACAATCCCTAATTTCCCTCTGCCGCGAGCCTACATTTTCAAACAATCCCCAATTTCCCTCTGCCCCAGGCCTACTTTTTAAAACAATTTCCAATTTCCCCCGGCTGCGAGCCTACTTTTTCAAACAAACCCCAATTTCCCTCAGCCACAGGCCTACTTTTTCAAACAATACCCAATTTCCCTCAGCCGAGGGCCTACTTTTTCATACAATCCCCAATTTCCCTCTGCCGCAGACCTACTTTTTCAAACAATCCCCAATTTCCCTCTGCCGTGGGTCTACCTTTTCAAACAGTCCCCAATTTCCGTCTGCCCCGGGCCTACTTTTTCAAACAATCCCCAATTTCCGTCTGCCGCGGGCCTACTTTATCAAACAATCCCCAATTTCACTCTGCCGCAGACCTACTTTTTCAAACAATTTCCAATTTCCCTCTGCCGCAGACTACTTTTTCAAACAATCCCCTATTTCCCTCTGCCGCGGGCCTACTTTTTCAAACAACCCCATAATTCCCTCTGCCATGGGTCTACCTTTTCAAACAGTCCCCAATTTCCCTCTGCCGCGGGCCTACTTTTTAAAACAATCCCTAATTTCCCTCTGCCGCGAGCCTACATTTTCAAACAATCCCCAATTTCCCTCTGCCCCAGGCCTACTTTTTAAAACAATTTCCAATTTCCCCCGGCTGCGAGCCTACTTTTTCAAACAAACCCCAATTTCCCTCAGCCACAGGCCTACTTTTTCAAACAATACCCAATTTCCCTCAGCCGAGGGCCTACTTTTTCATACAATCCCCAATTTCCCTCTGCCGCAGACCTACTTTTTCAAACAATTCCCAAGTGTCCTCTGCCGCAGGCCTACTTTTTCGAACAATCCCCAATTTCCCTCAGCCACAGGCCTACTTTTTCAAACAATCCCCAATTTCCCTCTGCCGCGGGCCTACTTTTTGAAACAATTTCCAATTTCCCTCTGACGCGAGACTACTTTTTGAAACAATCCCCAATTTCCCTCTGCCGCGGGCCTACTTTTTCAAACAATTTCCAATTTCCCTCTGACGCGAGACTACTTTTTGAAACAATCCCCAATTTCCCTCTGACGCGGGCCTACTTTTTCAAACAATCTCCAATTTCCCTCTGCTGTGGGCCTAAGATCAGAGTTTTGATCTTTCACAACTTGCACTTTACTGACAGCCCAATTTAAACTGACCAGTCCAGTTAAAACTGCTCTTCAGCAATCCTCGCTTGTCAGAAGAGACAACTAAAAATCGGTGGTCAGTTTTTCTGACTGGTTGACACACGTCATTGCATCCTCATTGCGTACATTGATGCTCATGATGTCAATCACTGGATTGTCTGGTCCAGACTTTATTATTTACATGATATTGTCATATAGCTGGAATATTGGTGTATGCAGCATTTAATGACCAACAAACAATCAAACATATACTTGTTGGATTCTTATGGTCACTTGTTGGCCATGACTGTACAAGCTGACCAAGGGGTCCAAACTCTATATAGCACCATATCAGGCAGAAAATATAGCTACTCTGATGATACAAATATACTGATCTCAAATTGGACAACAGACAAACCATAATAACATAAGCACACGTTTTCTTCAGGATGGGCTGAAATTTAACTGAGAAACCAACCTCAACTATCTTTCCATGTGAAACAACTGCTATGACATCAGCATCTCTTATTGTGCTGAGCCTATGAGCAATCACCAACACTGTTCGGCCTGAAACAGGAAATACGTGCTAAAAACAGGAAGTATGTGGAGAAAACAGGAAGAACTTTCTGGTTTGATGAAAGTGGTGTGTGCTAGCAGGGATACTCTACAACAGGGATAGGTCACTCGCTGGCTTTCTTTACCATTTGTACTAATGAGCGTGTGCCTCGTCATGCTCCAACGCACACAGTGACTTGGTTCGTTCAACATGAAAGATCAACAAGAAAGAAAGAAGTTTTAGAACTATAACACTCAAGCATCACAAGCATCAATGGCGTATCGGAACAGATCGGCGATATGTCATATTATTCACACACATCAAATACACCCTAACAAAAAAATTTAAAATTATAAAACTATCACTATCACTTGCAAAAACCTTTCACCTGATGGTACATTCCCCTCATAAAAATTAAAGGTGTATGTGAAAGATGTTTTAGAACAATAACTAGAAACACTCAAACAACGCCCTGTAGTATTTCAATGGCAGATCGTCGATATGTCATATTTTTCACACACCTCAAATACACCCTAACAAAAAAAATTTAGTTATAAAACTATCACTATTACTTGCAAACACCTTTCAACTAAAGGTATATTTCCCTTCTAAAAATTAAACGAATATGTGAAAGAAGTTTTTAGGGATAGAATTTAGTCTTTCTTCACTGTGTACTGAGAATTGAAGCCAGTGAGCTACAACATGCCGACTTGAAACTTTACTACAAATCTACTGTACTAATACTGACACTAAAAACAATTATTTGACTTAAAATGAAGTGACAGAATAGGTAACTTATCTTCTACATGTAGGTTTTCAGTGTCACAGCACTCAGCGTATGTAATCAGCTGTTGAAAATAAACCAGGCTCAATCTTAAAAACTACACAGCCGCCATATTGGCTACACTGGTCACGTGACGAGCCGAGGCATAGCTAGGGGCTTTCCGAGGAGTGACCACTCCCACTTATATAGTCTCCCTGGTGCTAGGTATCTGTTCAATCACTATCCAAATGAAGAGCTGGCTGATAATATCAGCAATCAGAAAAAGTGAGTGAGTGAGTTTGGTTTTACGCCACTTGTAACAATATCCTAGAAAGGGGCTTCACACAATATACCCGTGTTTGGAGTCGAACCCAGGTCTTCGGTGTGATGAGCAAACGCTTTAACCACTAGGCTACCCCATTGCCCCCAATCAGAAAGATCATCAATGGGATGAATTCTTGATACGAAATAATAATCAATAATACCTTGCATAAAAATTTGTGATGAAATGAAATTATAATTTCCACACAAAATCAGTTGCTTCTCCATTTATTAGCAAGTTAAACAATGTTACTTCTGTGATATTTATCAATGATTGATCAAAATTTGATTAATGAAGCCACTAATAGCTGCAAAATTGCTGATGTGGCTAAAACACTTGATTACTAGTTATTGATCCCTATGATTTATATCAATAGCCAACCCTATCTAAAAGACATTATTCACATTACATTTAGAAATGAGATTAATTTCAACATTGAAGACACTGGTATCTTCAACCAATTCTGTCACACTTAAATCATACATGTGAATGTACCTTTAATGACTTTATCCAAAGCTTCCTGCACAACTCTCTCAGATTCAGCATCAAGAGCACTAAAAAGACAAACAGAAGGAATTAAGGAATGCCTTGATGAACATAGTACATGCTGACTTGATAAAGTAGGTATTTATCTAAAATCCTCTCAGGGACCAATAATTGGCCCTAAGTCAAACAGCAAATGAACGTCGTTTGTTGTTAGCAGTAAATGCTTCAAAACCGATACCATTGTTTATTTTTATTTTACTAAAAATTCCATCCATTTTAGCTATAATAACGGTAATGCTATTTTGCAGGGCATTATCATTTGCAGAAGCCCTCGGTCTTCTACCAGTAACTACCAGTACACTCCTTCGTCAGGAAGTGACCCGTGAATGTTCGGGTTAGAATATTGATCTTCAGTAACCCATGCTTGGGTGGTCAGGCTCACTGACTTGGTTGACACATGTCATCGGTTCCCAATTGCGCAGATCGATGTTCATGCTATTGGTCACTGGATTGTCTGGTCCAGACTTGATTATTTACAGACTGCCGCCATATAGCTGGAATATTGCTGAGTGCGGCGTAAAACTAAACTCACTCACTCACTCATCAGGAAGTTAATGAAGACCTCGGGTTTCTACAAATGATAATACCCTGAAAAATAGCGTTATCCTTATAATACGAAAACATTCTTCAAGGGCATGAGTTGGCCATTGGCTTGTCCCAGAATGATAAAAGTTGGTCATGAATGATATAAAACAAGAGGACAAACTCTATACATATGTATTACCTGCCAGGGAAACTCAATTTTTTTTATTTTAGATAATCAAAAAGTACAAAAAGGCACTAGCTAACCACCAGAGCTGTCAATGGGCAACATTTTGGGGAGAATATTGTATGATGGCAGTTTCCTTGATCTGCCCTGGAAACAAGCACATCTGAAATTTTAAGTGTAAGTTACAGCAGTTGTCATGGAACTTGAGAAAAAGACATATTTACCAAAATCCCAAACTACAAAAGGTACCAGTTCTCCAGTCGGCCTATCTATATACCTATATTATATTGTACTCTTTTTAAGATTTGCTCCAGAAACAACATCTTGCATCAATGGAAAGATTGCTGAATCTATTCTAATACCGCTCCACAACATACATTACAGGGGATAAACAATATTTTGAGTTATCTCCCCTTCGACCATATCCACTGATGTACATAGTTAAGATATTGGCTAGCAATATTGGTTCAACTAATAGTTAGCTATAAGCCAGTTATCACATAATATGGTTAGATAAAGAAAAGAAACATCAGTAATCTCCCTTTTGACGATAGCCCACATGAATCCAAGTTCCAAATTCATACAGTTCATATTCATATCCATCTACAAACCCAGACAAATAACCTGACATTTATTTGAATGAGTGGTTTCTTATAGACTAGGCTTAGTCTCTGATTATACATAATTTTGACAGAAACAAATAATTCTTTTCAAGTTGAAGAGGAGCCTCAGTAAGATGGCTGATTCAGACCTGGACCTGAAGAAATCTAGACTTGCTTCATTTAGGGGTTGAGCACTGCAGAAATGGCTGGGCAGAAGCGAACATAATGTGGTTCTGGGACTGTGACACAGACTAGGTTTCATACAGCCAATGCAAATATTTCCTGTAATACTATCATAGAGGACACTAGAGACGGCTTCACACATTGTACCCATGCTGTGACACAGACTAGTTTCATACAGCCAATGCAAATATTTCCTGTAAATACCATGATAGAAGACACTAGAGACGGCTTCACAAATTGTACCCATGCTGTGACACAGACTAGTTTCATACAGCCAATACAAATATTTCCTGTAATAATATGATAGAGGACACTAGAGACAGCTTCACAAACTGTACCCATGCTGTGACACAGACTAGTTTCATAAAGACGAATATTTTCTGTAATGTGTGTGTGTGCGTGCATGTGTGTGTGTGTGTGTGTGTGCATGTGCACACACTTCATTTTCACCCGTTTTCACGAGAGTTTCAATGGTCATTTGATAAACTTAAAGACACCCCCCTGCACACCCTCTCTGGATCTGCCTATGCATACCTCGTTGCCTCATCCAGTATGAGCACAGAAGGGTTCTTGATGAGAGCTCGGGCTATAGCTATTCTCTGTTTCTGTCCTCCAGAAACTGTCACGCCCCTCTCTCCAAGTACGGTTCTGTAACCCTCAGGAAACTTGGAGATAAAGTTGTGGGCGTTGGCCTGTTTAGCAGCCTCAATCACCTGAAGTAGCAACATACATGAAACATGAGCCAGTGTTCTGATCCAAAAAACATTCGTGCAGTTAATGATGATTGTAATGATTAAGTTTGTAATACGGTTACGAATAACAGAGCTCAACGAATGCTTTACAGAACTGTTCCCTGATCTCATAGCAGAGGTAAGAGTTGACAGTGGTGGTGTGTGGTCCTGTGCATAGAGCTCAGGTCACAAATCAGTTGAAGTAAAGCAACACTGAGCACGTTCCTTGGATGGCTGACTGTGTTGGGCTGCTTGACTCCTGATATACTGAGTCAAAAAAGAAACTTCACAAAACATAATTTGAAAAATAATGAATAATTTTTCTCTGATGATACATCTATGTATCCGAAATGGGATCCCTATCTTTCGACTCTAGAAAAACGTTAGCAAAACCCACTCAAACCCATCCATTAAATTAGTGCAAATGGCGTTAGTGCCAAATCAGGTTTTGCCGTGCAGTCGATCACGTGATCTTCGTGATCAAGTTTTCTTCATATGCACGTGTTTGCATTGGCCTCAAGACTTGAAAAAACACTTTTAAACCACAGTTCTAACTGTACTTGAAATGCCACGATTGTCAAATGTGCAACGTGAACATGCCGTTGGCATGTTGCAAGTGGGAAGATCAGTTATTGACGTCGCAAGAGCAATGGGATGCAGCCGTCGTGCTGTGTATGACTAGCAAGGTCGTCTATAACAAACTGGCACCACCTCTGATGCGCCCAAGGTCGGTCGATCCACGTGTGACGTCACAAGCAGAACACTGTCAAATCGTCCCCACGTCACCTCACGTGACAGATTTCTGCCGGCTACACGAACCAGGGCTGAGATGTTTAGAGGTCGACTGTCCTCACAGACCATTCGAAATAAACTGCGGGCTGCCAATCTCCATTCTCGACATCCATATCGTGGGCCAATATTGACGTCGTTTCAACGTCAACGTTTGCTGTGGGCCCAACGTCACCTCCGATGGACCCAGAGAGACTGGAATCGAGTCGTCTTTAGCAATGAATCCAGGTTTACTCTCAGATTCGTGGATGGCAGGCATAGAGTCTGGAGACAACGTCGTGAACGGTATGCCAAATGTTGTGTACAGGAAGTCGACAGATTCGGGGGCGGAAGTTGCATGGTGTGGGGTGCTTTCTGTGGGAACAACCGTTCCCGACTTCTGGGCATCCGTGGAAACCTCACAGCTGCTGCTTACCGCGACCAGGTGCTCACCCCTGAACTCGTTCCTTTCATGGCGGCTCATGGCCCAGGTCTACAGTTCCAGCATGATAATGCTTGGCTGCATACCGCAATGTTGACACGAAATTTCCTTCAAAACGCTGGAATCAACGTCATGGACTGGCCATCGAGGTCCCCTGACCTTAATCCAATGGAGCACGTTTGAGATGCACTTGGGAGAAAGCTTCGTGCTCTTAGGAACCAACCTCAGAATTTGCAGGAACTTCGCGCTGCCTTGCAAGAGCAATGGCGCAGAATCCCCAGTGTTCACAAGCATCAGGCAGTCGATGAGGAGACGGTGTTTGGCAGTGGTGAATGTGTGGGGCGACCATACACGATATTGAACTGAGAAATTTTGCATTTTTATTCTTGTGACTTTACATTCTGTATACCCATGTTTTGGAGCGGTGTGTAGCCTAATGGAACTGACTATGGCACTGTCAGTGTATCGAGTATATCACACAGATCTCAGCAATGAAATAATATCAATTTAACCATCTTACCATCACTTGTTCTTTTATAGTGCCCTGAAGAAAGAATGTGAAGTTTCTTTTTTGACTCAGTATAGTTTCTAGGACTTCAGTCCTGCCCCTTGACGAAGCACATGTAATACATGTGGTCTCACCTTAGGCAAGTGAGTTTGTTCAAAATTGCCTCTGTTCTCCCAGCAGAAAATGGGTACCCGGTGGGATAAGTCATGTGACTATTAACCTTCTAGCGCCTCACAGGCAGCTTGGGTTATCCAGGGTAATAATAAAAAAAGTTGTATGCTTCTCTTGTGGGTAATATGGTCTGATGTACACCTTTTCATAGCAGTGTCACCCGAGCCAGTTGGCAAGGATAACACTGTAAGAAAAAGGCCTACATCAGACCGTATTACCCAAGAGAGAAGTTTACATTATATTTATCTTACCTCCATGGTAAATGACAAGATATCATTTTATTTTGAAGATCAATAAGCTCGCTACTGACTATATGATATGTAAACAAACTGGCATCTGCCTCCCAACTGGATTTTTACAATCAGTGAAACATACTCTAACAAGCTTAAAACTGCTATAAAAATGGCTAATTATGTTTAAATGTTGAGTGTGCAAATCATTCAATGTATATAATAGTTTCAATAAAGCATTGAAAGTCGGTAAAATAATGTATTTTTTCAAGTAAATTTGATATTTTTATAGTTATCTTATCTGCATGTAAAATACATGTGCCTTGATTTCAATGGTCAGTGATGCTTTAACAAGTTTACGGGTCCACCCTCCCAGGAAGGTGTTAACTGGAAAAACTATTACCCACTGCCATGGTAACTGCCAAACTCTCTGCCCAGAAGCTGTATCACTAACAAATGTATGATGTCATAAAAAGACGCGCATGCAGTGCATGGAGTTAAAAAAAACGTTCAATAGATGTTTTTGAGTTCACTATGTACCGGTACACATTATTTTTTCTTATCCCGACTCATGATCTTTTGCTTATCTCCCTTTCCCCTGCGAATGGTTGTGGAACACTTGAATCCCTTGAAGTTCCCTAAGCGGACATAGAAATACACTCACCCACGAGTTACCTCATTTTTCCCATCGTAAACAGTCATGTGACCAGCCTTACTTGGCACTCTCTCCTGATTTTTCTGCCCAAATACTTGGATCCGCTGTGCAATCCGAAGTGTTTCCAGCAGGGGGGTCGGGAGGGCTTGACCTCATAAGTCAGGATAAGTATAAAAAATCAATTTTACTTGAAAAATTGCATTTTTTTTTTTATCCCGACTCATGATCTTTTGTTTATAGAATCCTGCGGATTAGTGGTGGGTCAGGACACTTCCTGGATTCATCAGCTGTCCTTTAGATATGTCCTGTATCCTCCCCACCCCACTCACCACCCTTCCAACTGCGTGAGCGGGGGACCACATCAATTATAACTCTGTCTTTACTTCCATCTCAGACAGTTGAATCATCTTGAGTCATGTGGCTTCAGATATACTAGTATCTTCCTATTACTAGATATCGTATAACAACCCACAGATTATGATAAGATCTTTATAATAAATGAGTTGCGACCCCTTCACATACAGGTAAGATCTTTACCCGTACAGGATCTTTAATCACTCATGCTAGCCTGTCCTAGACTGTGCGCATGGACTTTCAAACTAATACTTTTCCTTAGTAAAAGTTATCAACAAGTCGACGTGATAAAGGGTGAGATTTTCCAACTCAGAGCCTTTGTGGAGCCGTTAGAAGCTGTGCTACAACGAGCGGCCCAAATTGGTGAATGCCTGAGACGTCTTCAGTGGCTATGTCTCGGAGGTAGTGGTTGGCAAACACTGTGTCCGACTTCCGAAAGCATCCCTCCATAATTGCTGATATATAACAAGTCCCTGGACCAGACCGTGTGCTGCATCACGATGGATGAGATGGCGTATTCTGCCAATGGCTCGTAGATGAAAGAAGCATATTCTGCAGAGTTGATTTACATGAGTGTCCATCGCCAGGTGTGAGTCAAGTGTAACTCCAAGGTCTTTAACAGAACAGTACTGGTGGTAATTTGTTTTTGCATTTGCCTGGATCAACCAACCAACACCTCAGTTTTGTCATCATTTAACAGCAGCCTTAGTTGAAACCTTCACTGTGCGAGTCCCAAACAGTAGGACGTTCCATTGAAAGTGTTAACCTCTGATTGCAGTGATGATATATCATTCTTCCCCTTATATACGCAGGCGATCTGTGTTGATCAGCATACATCGAAGCGTTGTCTATTTATAGCAAGGCTGGCTCCAGTGTAGCATCGCCGGGGACAGGTACTGATACCAACTTTACTCAGCGACAACTTCCAACATAAAAATCGTTAATGCTGCTGTCAAGGCTAGACATTTATTAGATTCCCATGATGATAACAGGCCATAGTTGTATACTGTTTCCAAGGCTGCCGATGAAGTATTCCCCCGTACCACAGGTTTGTTACAAGTCAGTAAACTTGCTGGTGCCTGCTCTGTCAGTGGGAGGCGTTGTCTGACGTGGACCAATCAGCTTCCAAGCATGACGTCACCGGTGTTGTAGCAAGTTGGCCTCCATAAAATCTGGTGCAATAAGTTTGTTGAGTAAAAGCGCACGTAATTCTACGCCGCTCATATAAACCTCTTGAATAAGGGTTGCTCCAAGTGTAAAATCTTGTTCAGTGATATAAATCACATATTCCCATTGTGGATAATATAAACCAGCATGACGAAGGAGGCTGTCAGGACGTATGTCTGTATGGATCTTGAAGAAATACCAATGTTGAATCTAGCTGATAGGATATAAATCCTAATCCCCACGCTGAGTGACGAGTGTTAATAATATCATCTGTACGTCCGTTCAAGGATTCTTGAAGGCGTTGTTAAGCTTAAGCGCTTTACAAAGTTTGCCTTGAGGTTCTCCAGTACTTGAGATATAGGCTTCATAGGTGATATCATATTGGAGTTGAAGTCATCAGTACGTCTCTGTTGGGTTGGAGTGAGTGAGTGAACGACAAAATCCGCAGGCCATCTGCTACCCGGTATAAGACCTCAGCATCTGTGTAGATGAAGGGATTCCTTTCATCAAGTAGGTTGTCGTCCGAAACTGAACCTATACAGGTGTAAGTTTTGTGCAGGTTGTAGAGTTGTGCAGGCTGTAAGCTGTAGAGATCGCACATGTTGTAGATCTTTTTTGTTGAGTTATAAACTCTGACAAAACCATCCGTTTTCATCACTGCTTCGTTTTATCTAGCCTTATGTTAATAGAATCGACGTCAACCTCCTGCCTGTTGATGTAAGGGTTTATTAAACCTAGGGTTCGCAAATCCTGTAGATGTCTGCGTTGCTGTTATCTGCCTGTAGATCTGTTCTCAAAGCTGTGCATAGGTTAGAAGGTATCTTGGATACAGGTTCAATCGGAGGAATAGTCACCGAGTCAAAGTCGTAATTACGCATCTTATAAGTGTAGACTTATCTATATCCTTAGAAGGAGACTCCAAGTTCAAACCATTGGCTATCCAAACTGTAACCTCTGAGTCCGGGAAGACGAAGTCTGGTTGTTCATCAGTTATCCTCTGATCGGTAGAGCTATGCCTCTGCGAATCATCGCTTAGGGAACTTCAAGGGATTCAAGTGTTCCACTACCATTCGCAAGGGAAAGGGAGATAAGCAAAAGATCATGAGTCAGGATAAGAAAAATTAATGTGTACCGGTACATAGTGAACTCAAAAACATCTATCGAACGTTTTTTTTAACTTCATGGACTGCATGCGTCTTTTTATGACATCATACGTTTGTTAGTGATACAGCTTCTGGGCAGAGAGTTTGGCAGTTACGACGGCAGTGGGTAATACTTTTTCCAGTTAACACCTTCCTGGGAGGGTGGACCCGGAAACTTGTTAAAGCATCACTGACCATTGAAATCAAGGCACATGTATTTTACATGCAGGTAAGATAATCAGATGTGTTAGCGCTTTGAGCATGTTCCTTGTATGTTAAAAAGGCATATTATAAATCCACATTTATGTTTTACAGATTAAAGATAGTATGCAGCAGAGAGGGTTCGGGTGATCCTGGCTGGTAAGGCTCATCATCAGCTCAGGGCCTTCTGCATTACCCAGAGTGTCAAAAGAGCTGTGCTCCCGGTGGAGAATCCGGGCACTCTCCTGATCTGCGCCAAGAGATCAGGACGTACCAAACCAAGGGCACCGAGAACAATGAGGAGCTTGATGACAGTGTACTTGGGATGCAAGCGAGACATTTCAAAGTATGCTTTTCCTGAATCTTGCCAACCACATTGGTGTCAAAAGGGACAGAAAATTCAATGATGATAATTATTATTATTGATGTCATAAAACAAAACAACTTATTTTATAACATGCTTTTACATAACAGGAAGTGTTGTCCAACAATAAAGTCTGACGCAGGCAAACCAGTTACGGACATAAACCAGACACACAGTCAGCCTTTAATATGATCATCTATTAGCTTTAACAACAAGCTTGGGGTATTGCAAACCTATTTACTTTGAAATTCTCAATTGGGTCCTAATTTTTATATGACTTACTTTCCAACAAAAGATCTTTATTAGAAAGGCTAACAACACATAATTTGGGGGAAACACATCAAAACATCATGTCCCATTCCTAACCAAAGACACTTAGATGTAGATGTGACAAGACAGTGAAACCACTTGTTGCAACATCTGTTTCAATCCACACAACATCAAGCACTAGAAGCTGTCAGTACTAGTGACCTCAAGCACTAGAAACTGCTACTACTAGTGATCTCAAGCACTAGAAACTGCTACTACTAGTGATCTCAAGCACTAGAAACTGCCAGTACTAGTGACCTGAAGCACTAGAAACTGCCAGTACTAGTGACCTCAAGCACTAGAAACTGCCAGCACTAGCGACCTCAAGCACAGAAACCGCCAGTACTAGTGACCCCAAGCACTAGAAACTGCCAGTGACCTCAAGCACTAGAAACTGCCAGTACTAGTGACCTCAAGCACTAGAACTAGAAACTGCCAGTACTAGTGACCTCAAGAACTAGAAACTGCCAGTACTAGTGACCTCAAGCACTAGAAACTGCCAGCACTAGTGACCTCAAGCACTAGAAACTGCCAGCACTAGTGACCTCAAGCACTAGAAACTGCCAGTACTAGTGACTTCAGGACTGGAGACCTAGCGAAAATTCTGCAAAGTGTGCATATGGCATACCTCTTGGTCACTTGCATCAGGCCGTCCATATCGGATATTCTCCATCACAGACGTAGCAAACAATATCGGTTCCTGCAGCAAAAACCAAGTACACACTTTTATATCACCATGGTTACAACATGTATGGTATTCTCTTGTAGGGATAATATAGCAAGTAAATACATATTAACAGGTGGATGATCTGATTTAGACTATGTCTTTCCATGAAATTCATTTTCCCAGCTATATTGGGACACAGAGAGTTGCCCAGCGGAGTGATCAGGGCTATTTGTTCCAATAACATGATTTGTTTGTTTGCTTGTAGTTCATGCCTCACTCAGCAATATTCCAGCTACATGATGGCAGTCTGTTAATAATTGCCTCTGGACCAGACAATCCAGTGACTGACATCGTGAGAGTCATTCTATGCAGTTCTAAGACATGTACCAACCAAGTCAGCGAGCCTGACCACCCAATCCAATTAGTCACCTTCAATACAACAAGGGGCGGTGGGGTAGCCTAGTGGTTAAAGCGTTTGCTCGTCACGCCGAAGACCCGGGTTCGATTCCCCACATGGGCACAATGTGTCAAGCCCATTTCTGGTGTCCCCCGCCGTGATATTGCTGGAATATTGCTAAAAGTGGCGTAAAACAAAACTCAGTCAGTCAGTCAATACAACAAACATGGGTTACTGAAGACCATTTCTAACCCCAATCTTAACAGATGACCAATAATATGATATAATGCAGTCAGCTCTCGTTAATCCGACACTCATTAATCCGACAATCACGTTAATCCGACAAAAAATTAGGGAACCATCTAAAACAGTGATAGTTACTCTTGTTAATCCGACATTCTCGCATTCCGACTCCGAGACACCAATGTAGCAACTGATTATTGTAAATACATTGTAAAAACATTCGTTAATCCGACAATCAACACAGCCGGTCGGATGATCCGACCATATACAAACAATCACATGTGAGTGGTAATTAGCGTGTGCCTTACTGGCTACTTGACACTGACGTCGGTGAACATCACACTTGTTAATTAGGAACACAGGATAATTAATTGAGACGATTTAATCAAGAAATAACAGTAGAGCGAGCTGTATAAAATGTTTACAACCGACATGAGTTTTCATCACAAGATGTTTATCACGAGTACACCACCTGCTAAGCGACCCCATGAAGAAGTTACACCCATTGATCAAGAGAGAAATCTCCTTTTGAAAAAAAACAAACCCCAGACAAAACAACAAGAAGTCATCACTTTTGCTTAGCAGAAGTTTGATGTGAAGATTGGACGATCAACCATATCTGACCTCCTGAAGCAGTCTGCTTAGTCCGACATTTCCGTTAATCCGACATATTTCTCTGCAACCACAAGTGTCGGATTAACAAGAGCTGACTGTGTACCAATATCATGAACCTTTAGGAGTACAGTCACATTCAGGTCATATGTCATTCCAAGCAGAAGGTAAGGTGACATATTTGACATATTCTTGTACGCAACCAGGCATACAGTTAAATTTCTGTATTCCAGACGAAAAAGTTATTTTTCGATCTGCTTTAAGCAGAACATGTGTCTGACATAAGTATAGCCTTTTTGCAGTGAAAACGTAACGATGAATTTCACTTTAAACAAAAAATAAATCAAATAAAGTGAAATTAAGAATGCGAATCCTCATAATTTTACCTTGCCAATTAAACATTTAAAACTCAGAATTTTATTTAACTTAGGATAAAAGTTGTTTAATAAACAATCATAGTTTCAAATCACTATTATTGGTTTGTCTTACAAGGGGGTAAGCGCAGTAGTTAGAACAGTGAAACAAATGCATGTGCGGTACGTGATGAGCATTAACTTAGACCAATCCTACCTGCTCTCGGTGTTTCATTTCAATTATAAGGATTCGCAATCTTACTTTCACTTTATTTGATTGACTTTTGGGATTGAAGTGAAATTCATCGGTCTGTTTTCACTGCAAACAGACTATAACAATTGTGATTTCACAAAATCAATATCAGCACTTAAACCTTTTTGACTGAAAGAGCAGATGACACTACCTGTGAAGAAGAGTAGATGTGAATATAGTTTTTTGCTTCATAAAAAGTAAACACTATATATTGCTTAACACCACTCAGCAATGTATCCAGTGAATGACAACAATATATAAACAAGAGATACAGGGACTATTATCACAAGCATAGATCCATGATGACTACTAAAGAGCATCCCTTCAAATCACTGAGGATTGTATATATTATACTCGACCTCTTAATTTCCTCCAGAAAGGAGATATATCTTGTCTAAGCTAAGAGCCTATGGTGGGCAAATTTGGAAAATATCATCTTATTGTTCAATTTTATAAAGGCATTATTTCAATAATTCTGAAGTAGAATATAACTCATTCAGAGATATAATATAAAACTAAATATTAGTGAAGTACAACTTAACATGCCATCACAATCAAAATGCATTGACACGAATCAGGGAAGAATGAGGACTATTTTTATGTATATACAACTTCTTTATTCTATATAGGCGACGTTTCGACATAGATTAATCTACCTATATAGAATAAAGAAGTTGAATATCCATAAAATAGTCCTCATTCTTCATCTACCCAACTTCTAGAATGCCAATCAAAGAAATGAATCAGGGACTTATTTATTTGGGGTTTTGTTCGTGAGCAGATAAACCTCTAGATAAACCTCCACAGAAGGAAGCAGTGATTTCATTAACAATGATTAATTAACCATGACCACATGTCTAATTCTTTTATACACCATGCCCAGCATTTACCTGGTTGATATATCCCAATGCTCTTCCTCTAAGCCATGTTGGATCCAGATCTTGTATGTTGACTCCGTCTAGAGTTATCTCCCCTTTGGTCACATCATAGAACCTCTCCAATAGGGCAGCCACTGTAGATTTTCCTGGAAGACAGGTATATATAGTATGTAGTACTGTTGGACAAAGTGTGATAAAGTCAATTCAGGATCACAGTATCTGCATAATTTAAGAAAGGTGTTAAACCTAAAAGTTAAATGAGTTCAAAGTTTTCGAGAAAGTCATAAGAAAGAGAAACTTAACCATGTGTCTCCTGGTATCAAATGCATCAACGTGATTTGGTAAAACAGGTTTTGTTAGGATTCCTGTACTTTTATTGACATGATATCAAAAGACATGAGGGCAAGGTACTATATGCCATCCAAACTCACCTTTTAAATGTTATAGTTTGTCAACAATGATCACCGAAGTTGTGAATGTAGAAAGTACACATTACCTCCTTAGATCAGAAGAAGAGGATTGTGATCAATTTCATTGAGTGATATCTCCTAAGAAACATAGCTTCATCACCTGTTGAAGCTAGTTTTTATGATTAATGTTTATGTGAAGGAGAAAGATAGTGATGATGATGCAGTTTCTAAGAGTGTACCACTATTACACATCATTGGACCCCTGAAGATCCAGGTTAGAATTGATTTTCAGTAATCCATGATTGTTGTATGTAAGGTGACTAATTGTATTGGGTGGTCAGGCTCGCTGACTTGGTTGACACACATCATATCCCATTTGCATAGATTGATGCTCATGCTGTTGGTCACTGGAGTGTCTGGTCCAGACTGCAGCCACAGAGCTGGAATATTGCTGAGTCCGGTATTAAACAATCACCAACCAACACATCATTGTATTACGGGTTTTCAGCAACTAAGAACATTTGTTGATTTCACGTTAATTGCATTAACTGAAAGATATGTCACTATCTTATAAAAGACAAATATATTAACGCCAAACAATCAGCCAATTATTTACAATGTCTGTGTGAGACAACAAATCTAGTTGTAGCATGAGTGAGTGAGTGAGTGAGTGAGTGAGTGAGTGAGTGAGTGAGTTTGTTTAGTTTTACGCCGCACTCAGGAATATTCCAGCTCTATGGCAGCGGTTGTAGCATGAGTAATCACATATGTCTGAAAACATATAATATGACGATACATGCACACATTACCAATATTTACCTCCTCCTGACAATCCGACCAGAGCAACAACTGTTCCCCCTTGTATCTTCAGGTTGAAGTTATGCAGCACTTCCTGTTCAGCTCGGGTTGGGTACGAGAATCCGACATTCCGAAACTCCAAGTTGCCCATCAGGGCATGAAAAGGAATTTTCTTGCCACCATGGAGTGGGATCTTGGCTTCATGGTTTATGAACTGAAACATTTGCCACACCAACGTATTGACAAGTATTTAGATCAAACTGCTGGAGAAATGTGATTAAATGTCACATCATGTTCAGGGATTTACCTTGAGTCCTGTATTTGAGGTCCCTGGGATTGTACTCCTAATAAAATGGGTGTCCCAGACACTTAAATATTATTATTAATACTATGCTGTAATATTTTTGTAATTTAATTGCTGTTATTGTACTGTGTATCATGGTCAGCGCATTGTTACAGTAATTATATTTAAAATGAAAACAAAACCCACCTAGTAGCAGACTAAGTGATAACTTATTGTTACTTAATCGACTTTTAAAAAAAAGTATTTGGACTTTTTCTGTGTCCCCATGGACGCGGTAATTAATTTCGTTGCGTCCATTGTCAATTTTTATGCGTATAAGACGCAGGAATGTGCGTCCTGTAAATCCCTGATGTTATAGATTATTGTACTTACATGTTGATGTGCATGTGTGTGGGTCTGGATGGTTATACAAGGCAGATAAATGTCACTTTGAGACTGCTTGCCAGCTGAGATGTCATGATGACATGGATAACCCTCTCTGTCCATACTGACACAGGGCCAAGGAGCCCTTGCTTCATAACCACCTCCCTACAGTATGATGATCTGCTATCTACACAGTCACCTCTGTGGCCATGTGACCCTTATTGCTCTAATGACAAGAATGGGTCCTGGATGTTGATTAGAAATCCATGGAAATAGATTCACACACAGGCAAGTTCATGGACTTACTGCATTGGTGGATTATGAGCATGTGCATCGATCTACGCAATTGGGATACAATGACATATGTCAACAAGTCAGCGAGCCTGACCACCCAAACCCGTAAGTCGCCTTTTACGACAAGCATGGGTTACTGAAGACCAGTTCTAACCCGGATCTTCACGGGTGGACTAACTGCACATGTCTCTCTGTACTAGTTGCAAGGAACTAAACATAGGTTAACATATAGTGATATTTCTGATTCCATTATTCATCTACATAAAAGTCAGTGGGTGTGGTTTTACACTGCTTTTAGCAATATTCAGCAATATCACAACTGGGGGCACCAGAAATACGTTTAGCATAATGCATCCATGAAGGGAATCAAACCCAGGTCTTTAGCTTTATGAGCAAACACTTCAACTACCAGGCTACCTCACTAATCATCTACATAAGGAAGTACAACTAAGATTGTGAAAGACACTGTTCTTACCTCAAAGACTCTGGCTCCTACGCTCACTCCCTTCACAATCTGACCAAACAGGAGGGACATCTGTGCGAGAGACCTGAAAAGACATTCCACTAGTACAGAATCTGATGATGTCATAAATGCTGTTTTTGTAGGAAGCACTTGATAACTTTATGGGAAATAGATGAATATATCCTTTATCACTCAAGGGGATATGTATTTATTGTTTATTATGCAATGTACATCTGCTTGTGACCTTTATACTGAATAAACCTCTTTGCTTCTCAATTACAAAATCAGACGACACTGACAACTACGGGTGAAATGGTATATCATGGTATTAGTGGAACCACGGTATTTTGTTTTCAGTTCGGTTAACCGTATTGCAATCAAAACCTTGGGTATTTTCGGTTTTCGTGCATTCAATTTATTAACCTTTTTAAACCTTTTCTAAACTGTCTCAAAATTGAATAATCTAGGTTTGGCCCTTGTTGTCAATTTTCAGCATTATGATAATATTTCATACACCCAGTTGAAACGGACCAAACCGATGTCCTTGTACTGCAATACATACTGTGCCGTGGTCAGAGCGTACTGTTTCATCTCTACTGACAACTCCTACCACTTTGTAGTGAAATACACATTGACAGCCTTATCAAGTGTCCTAGATCTTGACTCCAACACTGACCTCTCAATGGTCTGGGTGGCCACCAGGAAAGACATGAGATCTCCAGCATTCAGCTCATGGACAGACATCATCCAACCACCAGCGAACATGGTCCCCAGAACAACACCTGTAGAGGAGAGAGGAGTCTTCCAAATAAGACACGTGACTGACATTCTGAACATCAACGTCTCTAGGTGCAAGGACACTAAATCAACCAAGTTTCAAACCTGAGATCCATTAAGTTCCTACGACCAGCACAAACTGCTTGGTAAAACACATTTGGATATATATTATGATGTACAGTGTATCGTTATAGTACTTTTATACCATCTCTACTGAAAGCATAAGCAAGATGATAGTCTGGGTAGTTCCAAAGATGGAATGTCAAAAGTCACATGGTAAATGCTGCAAAATAAGTATGGGCATAATTTTGAAAAGTTTATTTGTCAACAAAAGAAAACAAAATCAAGAGAAAACAAAATCAAGAGAAAACAGCTAAACTTTAAGGAAACATTAAAAATGTTCAGCATGATCATATCAATGTCTGTATGAAATATACTGGTGTATTAGTTATTGTTCAGGTAATCAGATGTGGGTGTACCATTGAGAGCAGCATTAGCCAGGCCCTGGAACATGCCGATTCCGAAACCCAGCTGTATGTTGAGTTGACATGCCTTCTCCACCTGTTGACTGTACAACCTGGACAAAACAACACACACTGGAACCAGCAGTAATAGAAAGGACATTCACTTACAGCTGTAAGACACAGTCACTTGGGCCAATAGAGTCATAGTCAGCCAGTTGTTAAAGATATCCTTTGGCCAAGAGAGTCACAGTCAGCCAGTTGTTATAGATATCCTTTGTCCAAGAGAGTCACAGTCAGCCAGTTGTTAAAGATATCCTTTGGCAAAGAGAGTCATAGTCAGCCAGTTGTTAAAGATATCCTTTGGCAAGGAGAGTCACAGTCAGCCAGTTGTTAAAGACATCCTCTGACCAAGAGAGTCACAGTCAGCCAGTTGTTAAAGATATCCTTTGACCAAGAGAGTCACAGTCAGCCAGTTGTTAAAGATATCCTTTTGACCAAGAGAGTCATAGTCAGCCAGTTGTTAAAGATATCCTTTGACCAAGAGAGTCATAGTCAGCCAGTTGTTAAAGATATCCTTTGGCCAAGAGAGTCACAGTCAGCCAGTTGTTAAAGATATCCTCTGACCAAGAGAGTCACAGTCAGCCAGTTGTTAAAGATATCCTTTGACCAAGAGAGTCACAGTCAGCCAGTGGTTAAAGATATCCTTTGGCCAAGAGAGTCATAGTCAGCCAGTTGTTAAAGATATCCTTTGACCAAGAGAGTCATAGTCAGCCAGTTGTTAAAGATATCCTTTGGCCAAGAGAGTCACAGTCAGCCAGTTGTTAAAGATATCCTTTGACCAAAAGAGTCACAGTCAGCCAGTTGTTAAAGATATCCTTTGGCCAAGAGAGTCACAGTCAGCCAGTTGTTAAAGATATCCTTTGACCAAAGAGAGAGTCATAGTCAGCCAGTTGTTAAAGATATCCTTTGGCCAAGAGAGTCACAGTCAGCCAGTTGTTAAAGATATCCTTTGACCAAGAGAGTCATAGTCAGCCAGTTGGTAAAGATATCCTTTGGCCAAGAGAGTCATAGTCAGCCAGTTGTTAAAGATATCCTTTGGCAAAGAGAGTCACAGTCAGCCAGTTGTTAAAGATATCCTTTGACCAAGAGAGTCACAGTCAGCCAGTTGTTAAAGATATCCTTTGGCCAAGAGAGTCATAGTCAGCCAGTTGTTAAAGATATCCTTTGGCCAAGAGAGTCACAGTCAGCCAGTTGTTAAAGATATCCTTTGGCAAAGAGAGTCATAGTCAGCCAGTTGTTAAAGATATCCTTTGACCAAGAGAGTCACAGTCAGCCAGTTGTTAAAGATATCCTTTGGCAAAGAGAGTCACAGTCAGCCAGTTGTTAAAGATATCCTTTGGCAAAGAGAGTCACAGTCAGCCAGTTGTTAAAGATATCCTTTGGCAAAGAGAGTCACAGTCAGCCAGTTGTTAAAGATATCCTTTGGCAAAGAGAGTCACAGTCAGCCAGTTGTTAAAGATATCCTTTGGCCAGGAGAGTCACAGTCTGGCAGTTGTTAAAGATATCCTTTGACCAAGAGAGTCACAGTCAGCCAGTTGTTAAAGATATCCTTTGGCAAAGAGAGTCACAGTCAGCCAGTTGTTAAAGATATCCTTTGGCCAGGAGAGTCACAGTCTGGCAGTTGTTAAAGATATCCTTTGGCTAAGACAGTCCATCCCAGCAATCTTGAGAAGATGAGTATTTGTCAACCATATTTTTCAGAACAGTGCTCTGTTTAATCACGCACACACAAAACCAACTTCACACTTTGCATTTAGCTTGCCAAGGCTTGCTAAATATTATGTTTATTCCTAATGCAGGATATCAACCATACCCAAACCTACTCGTGTGATAACCTATATTTACATAGATAGAAAAGACTTTCCCTGAACTTAGCTTCATAACAACTACATGAGCAGGGAACAATTTCCATCATTAAATGCATCATTCTCCACCATCCAAAACAATGCTTACTCATTTTCCTTTGATTCCATAGCAAAGGCTGCAGACTGTGTCTTGAACGTTTCCTATGGCCTCATCTGCAACAGCAGTTGCTTGAGATACCTGTAAATAATGCTCTGTTGAATTTCAATGTATAAATACAGTTATACCTGAAACAATACAAACAGCATGAGTGAGTGAGTGAAATACACTGTATGATACATCATATTCAAGTGGGCGAGTGATATGAGTTGCACTACATGAAGACTAAATGGAAACAAACAAACAGCATTTAATTTTGATGAAAGATCACTACAGAAATTGGACAGTTCTAGCAGGGATAGACATGGATAGAAATAGATTAGTCCAAGATTTGAGAAAATCTGAAGAGACTAGTTGTTTTTACATAAACTAACAAGCTATGGAAAAGTTGTATATGCTCGGTATCAATCCCTCTTCAGACAAAAGGCAACTAACAAGCTATGGACAAGGTGGATATGCTTGGTATCAATCCCTGTTCAGACAAAAGGCAACTAACAAGCTATGGACAAGTTGGATATGCTTGGTATCAATCCCTGTTCAGACGAAAGGCAACTAACAAGCTATGGACAAGTTCGATATGCTTGGTATCAATCCCTGTTCAGACAAAAGGCAACTAACAAGCTATGGACAAGTTGGATGTGCTTGGTATCAATCCCTGTTCAGACAAAAAGCAACTAACAAGTTATGGACAAGTTGGATATGTTTGGTATCAATCCCTGTTCAGACGAAAGGCAACTAACAAGTTATGGACAAGTTGGATATGCTTGGTATCAATCCCTGTTCAGACAAAAAGCAACTAACAAGTTATGGACAAGTTGGATATGCTAGGTATCAATCCCTGTTCAGACGAAAGGCAACTAACAAGTTATGGACCAGTTCGATATGCTTGGTATCAATCCCTGTTCAGACAAACAGCAACTAACAAGCTATGGACAAGTTGGATATGCTTGGTATCAATCCCTCTTCAGACAAAAAGCAACTAACAAGCTATGGACAAGTTCGATATGCTTGGTATCAATCCCTGTTCAGACGAAAGGCAACTAACAAGCTATGGACAAGGTCGATATGCTTGGTATCAATCCCTGTTCAGCCAAAGGCAACTAACAAGCTATGGACAAGTTGGATGTGCTTGGTATCAATCCCTGTTCAGACAAAAGGCAACTAACAAGATATGGACAAGTTGTATATGTTTGGTATCAATCCCTGTTCAGACGAAAGGCAACTAACAAGTTATGGACAAGTTGGATATGCTATGTATCAATCCCTGTTCAGACAAAAGGCAACTAACAAGTTATGGACAAGTTGGATGTGCTAGGTATCAATCCCTGTTCAGAAAAAAGGCAACTAACAAGTTATGGACAAGTTGGATATGCTAGGTATCAATCCCTGTTCAGACAAAAGGCAACTAACAAGCATCAATATTCTCACTGGTGGCACTGTGTATTCATAGTTAATATTCTGATCAGTTCACCATGTTACTCTTCATGACATCCTGGTCAGTCAATTTTACAACAGTCCTAATGAGACAGAAGAGCAAAGCATCAAGAAATGCCAATTGTTTTCAGAAGCTTTCAGAAACAGATAAAAAAATTCACCCACCTGTTGCTGAGCTTTTCTTGACAATGACCGAAGATTGGACCCAAGTGCTGTTCCTGCAGAGATGATTGCTGGGACAACTATCAGCATAATGCCGGTTAGCTTTGGTGAGATCATGAGTAGACTCGCTACACAACCAACGGTCTGAAAACATGGAAAACAATCATTACATCTTTAAGTCAGATAACACACAGTTTGTCCCTTAATCTTGCATTCACATAGAACCTAGTCTTGCTATTCCGAAACCAGCAGAAATTGAGAAGGACATGCTGTATTCTCCCCAAAGTATTTATGGTACATGTAAGCAATTCACCTGATGATGGAGTAAGGATATACTCTGAAACATTGTGTTCCTCATAATAAAGAAGTCAACATCTATAACACTCTCCTTACGTATGCAATTATACTGATGTGACCTGCAGTGTAGTTTAATTTGACCAACTGAGTCTTTCCCTTTTAATGCAGCAAAGCCTTTCATCATAATAAGATGGCACGTGAATAATAAGATCAGACTCACCAAACCAGTGATTGATATTAGGAGCAATCACTATCACCATCATGCATTGCAGTGGTTGCTGAGGACCTAACCTAACCTCTAAGAGTGAGAGAGTAAGTTTTGTTTTATGCTATTTTTTAGCAATATCATGGTGAGTTACACTAGAAATGGGCTTCACACAATGTACCCATGTGGGGAATTGAACCTGGGTGAATGCTTTAACCACTGCACTACACCATCGCTCCTCAAATACCTGAGACACAATGATTACACATACATGTATAAGATTCTGGTTCGAATACGAGTGAGTGAGTTTAGTTTTACGCAGCTTTATTACCATATTCCAGTAATATCACGGCAGGGGACACCAGAAATGGGCTTCACGCATTGTACTACACTTAAAATGTTATATGTGGTCATTGAACCATCAATATTGGACCAGGGGCTCCTTTCCCGAAGCAACCTTTACTAAGGCTAACTTTAACTCCCATTCTTTAAAATTGCACTGAAAGGAGGTCCAGACAAACAAGTATTTGAAAGCTGATGAAGCATCACTGCAGAAAATAAATCAGGGCATTTCAAATTGCAGTCCTTGGAAACCCCACAATAATCCCAATTTAAAATGCTTACAATTTTGATGAAACCTAAAACCAAAGCATGGCGCTGAGCGCTGACAAACCGACAACTCAAAATACGAGTATCTGAGCTATAAATAGCTGCTATGTCAAACCTGTGTAGTAGCGCGCGAAGACCTTGAGAAATACACAACTTGAATGAGCTTTTGAACTCTTGAATATCAGTCGTGAGTCTGAAAAAGACAAATCATTTAGGGAAATTAAGCGTGTGTCTGATTGAATCACAGATGAATGTTGATGAAGTCACAACACATTGTTGATAAAGAGAGAAAAATTTATAATAATAATAACGGATAGAATTTATATAACGCTAATCTCTGAAAGGACTCATTACGCATTTCTCTCACAAAATTTGGACGAAAAGAACACATTAAGGAAAGCTTGTTTAAATAAGAATGATTTTTAACCAGTCTTGAATGAACTTAGAGAAGGGGAATGGCGGAGTTCATTTATGGACATGTTGAAGACAGGACACTTTCTGGACATGATGAAAAGAGGAAATCCTATGCTTTGTAAAACCTACGTTATTAAGCACAAACAGTACGTGATACTTAAGTTGAAAACTATTAAAAAAATTTGAAACAAAAATATACATGCAATGCATCCAGCCATAATCTCGCGCTACAGATCAACACAAAGTATTGTTATATGAACCTGTGTAGCTATAAACCTTATAATGAAATGTATGAACCTCAAGAGACAGAAGTAACAGACAAAGCAGGAGTGATATTTTTAGTTTCGTATCATATTTTTAGTTTTGTATCACTGGGCTGTGCTTATAACTACTGACATGGCGACAAGAAACTTTATGAACATAATGACATTCACCTGTCGATCAGCTCCCCAGTCTTGTGCCTGTCGTAAAACTCAATGTCCTGACTGAGCAGAGATTCAAACAACTGTATTTTCATCCTGGTGGCAACATTCTCCCCGACCGCAGACAAAAGAGAGATGTACCCAAATGTCAGCAAACCCTGCACAAAAGATGTACAGTGAAACCTCATTACGTTATGGTCTGCATTATGATTAATACTGGAAATGTTTACAAATGTATAATGGGGACATCACTCCCTGTCTATGATTCATTTATCCAGACATTCAATAATCTCAACAATCTGACAGGAATCCCAACTAAGTGTGGACAGTAGAACATTTATATACGAACTCCAAGGGACCACGAAATTTAGTTAAGCTATATCCGGTGTTAGATTATTCACATTTGACCGCCATCTTGGATTGTAGAGATGTAGAGACACGTATATGCTGAGGCTACAAATATTTATTCTTGTACATGTACATTGACATAACATTAAAATTCTGAATTTATCATTCACAGACATTAGCTAGAACATGTTTAACAAGAACATGTTTAACAATCACAACAATCTCAAAAATACATGTATATAACTTAATTACGTTTAACAAAGTACACAATTTTGCTCTGCACACCACGTCTTGCAGACTTCATTTTGCCGACTGCATCACAGACACGTTAATGAGTTCGCTAATCACGTCGATAGTTGGGCTTGGGGGTAGTAAATCAGTTCGCTATAGCCGTTAATTCGCTACTCACGAGTTCGTTATTCGCGTATAATTTTAATGATATTATAAAGGACTGTTGACGGGTCTTTTAAATTTGTTTGCTATATCCGTTTGTACGCTATATCCGTGTTCGCTATATCCGTGTTCTACTGTATATGGCAGCGGTTTGTAAATAATCGAGTCTGGACCCAACAATCAGTGATCAACAGAAAGAGCATCGATCTACGCAAATGGCATACATATGTGTCAACCAAGCCTGACCCCCCGATCCCATTAGTCACCTCTTATGACAAGCATGGGATACTGAAGATCAATTCTAACTAGGATCTTCACAGGTTGCAAATAACTGCATCTGGACCAGGTACCGTAGACTAATAACTAGTCTCTGAAATGAACATATTTTACTGAAAAAAGTTCATAGTAAAAAAATATAAAATATAATGAAAAAGAGCCCTGAGACCTTCTTCATTTTCAGAAGCTGAGGAAATCTAGACTTGCCACATTTTCTAGACTTGTGTGGGCTTTCTTGGATATATTTGCTTCAGGGTCTGTACGACAGACTGCAGACTACAGGTACCGTAATAAAGAGACTGACATCATGATCATCGATAAACCAAACTGGGACACAGGTACACAAAATGAAGAAAGTCAGCAAGACTGACCACCCAATCCTGAGGTAGGAAAAGAATATATGAACAACTTTTTCATTTCAATATTCATCCATATATTCCGTTCCTAACTGACTATTCCAACTTCAAATGCCCTCCAAGAAGCAAATCATTCCGTTTGTTACTTCGAACAAAGATAACCTGTCTGGATGCTATCATCTTACTCTAAATCAAGATAAGAATAACAAAAGTGAGTTTGTTTTGAGTTAATTTCACCATAAATTATTAACATATAATTGAAATAAATATTAGGGCCTCGTAGTAGCACCTTCTTGTTTTTGCCATGATATTTTGTCAATATTTTCTAAAGTATCCTCTTCAAAAAGGTAGGGGAACCTAAACTTTCAATTTGAATAGGAAGTATAGGCGTTTTTCAAACAAACTTTTCAAAGATAGACATCTTATGAACGCACCACCATTGCTCTTTATCAACACCCCTAAACACAGCGTTTGGGTTGCACGGGCGCTACGAAGTGGCCCCACACACGTGCATGGGGTGTCAGTTATCTCCCCTTCTTGTTAATATTCTATATTCCATTGTCTGTATTATTTTTATATATGACTTGCAAAGAAAAACCCCATTTAAAAACTCAGCAAGGGTATAATAATGCAAATTGTACTAAACAAACTGTTTTACCATTGACGACTTTTTATTCAGAGAGACAGAAATTCACCTGCAAGCAATAGATTCCCAGTAGCTTCATTGCTGGCTTTTTGATGTCGTCAAAGAAGCTGGCTGCCGTGTCTGTCGTGAATTTTGACACCACGTTCACAAGGTCACCCAGCATCAAGGGAATGTTGATGTTTACGACAGCTACTGCGAGGGCACTCTGGGAATAAAGATGATGAGGAAATATCGGTCACAGCATCCAGTCTGATTCATTCTTCAGATGAAGAGAGAAGACATGAATATACCAGGTACACCACTAGTGCTGTAACGATGCATCGAACTATCGATGGATTGCAAAATTGATGAGTCTCCGATAGCGATTAATCGATGGTGGAAATGAAAAACTATCAATGCATCGATAGTATGTGTGACTATCGATAGTTTAGCAATTGACTTCTGTTGATAAATGCACAGAACAAAATACAGGAAGTACCAGATTCGTTCACTTTGATTTAGAGTTTTCCGCTCCTGTTACCTCTTAAACAAACATGGCGGAAAACACGGCATGTAACTCGGAGTTTGAAATTGCAAATAACAATAAGTTTAACTGTTTATTTGATCTGGGTTTCTTGTCAGTTATTAAAAGGTACTGAAACAACTTCAGCTTGTTTTAATTTCATATAAACTATACATTCATTTGGGAAATGACTTAAAATTCAATAGTTGGTCACAATAGATTATCACTGTTGCAATCAATAGACTGTCGCTATCGCAATAGTTGGTCACAATAGATTATCACTGTTGCAATAGTATGCTGCAACAGACTATCGCTATCGCAATAGTTGTTTCTCCCACAATAGTCACCCCTATACTCCACGACAGACAGATAGACAGCTGACGTGATTTCTGATGACTGATATAAAGCAATGAGTTTGATAAACAGCCATTTTCAGCTTGTTAGATATACAAATAAAATACCCATACTTATTAAGAACTGACAATGTGGTTTGAAGTAAAACACCATTAAAAGATTACAATAACCTGATGGGGCTGACTTCTCATGGGAAAGTTTATATTATAATTGTATGTTCATACAAAAAGTATGTATATAACATATATAAAGAAAGTCCAACCTGGATGTTCACTAGTCTTGGACTAACAGTCTAGTGGCTATGTCTCACCCTGGATTTTCACTAGTCATTGACTAAATAACAGTCTAATGGCCATAACTCACCCTGGATTTTTCACTAGTCTAGAACTAACAGTCTAATGGCCATAACTCACCCTGGATTTTCACTAGTCTATTGACTAAATGACAGTCTAATGGCCATATCTCACCCTGGATTTTCACTAGTCTAGGACTAACAGTCTAATGGCCATAACTCACCCTGGATTTTTCACTAGTCTAGGGCTAACAGTCTAGTGGTTATATCTAACCCTGGATTTTCACTAGTCTAGGACTAACAGTCTAGTGGCCATGTCTAACACTGGATTTTCACTAGTCTAGGGCTAACAGTCTAGTGGTTATATCTAACCCTGGATTTTCACTAGTCTAGGGCTAACAGTCTAGTGGCCATGTCTCACCCTGGATTTTTCACTAGTCTAGGGCTAACAGTCTAGTGGTTATATCTAGCCCTGGATTTTCACTAGTCTAGGACTTACAGTCTGGTGGCCATGTCTAACACTGGATTTTCACTCGTCTAGAACTTACAGTCTTTAGTGGCTGTCTCACCCTGGATTTTCACTAGTCTAGTACTAACAGTCTAGTTTATATCTAACCCTGAATTTTCACTAGTCTAGAGGCCATATCTAACCCTGGATTTTCACTTGTCTTGGAGTAGTGACGATGCTAGTGACACTAATTTTTTATGCATAAACAAACACAATGTCCACATACCGCCACTGCTGCAATCAGGTACCATATCTCCGGAAGCAAAAGCTTCCACAGACCTTTGTAATCAAAACTTGGGTCTGGCGCCGAGTCATCTTTGTTGGTTCCCACCAGCCTGTTTCTTTGGTGCTTCTGTTTACAGTGGACACGGCTTCCATGATGATGATACCATGCTAAACTAGTTCCTATCACACCTACACAAGGTATACTCAGTCCTCCACATAATTTAATTGTTTTAGGCGTGGAACGTAGGGAGAGATTTCTCAAGTACACAGCCCAGCTTCCATTGCTTTTGATTTGGGATACATGGTAAGATTTGCTTGAAAGCCTTGCAGCACACTTGACACAGGTCTTCAGGATTCCCTTGCTGCTAACTGCCCTGGAACAACATGATTGAGAGAGTTAGTTGTTTAATGCTTCTTTCAAAAATATTCAATGCAAATAAAGTTCAACGGGAATGAGGTGTTACATATTTACCACTTTGGTGAAACAAACTTTAAAACAAACTGGATAATCAAATTTAGATCACACACAGCTTGAATTTATATTCATAAACACATGTGTGAGTTGATTAACTAAGCAGCTGAAAACAGTTACCAAATTTCCTCTATCTGATTCACATGCTGCCCTTGGTTTGAAATCCATGGAAACAGAAATCCATGGCTCAAAGTTGCTAGTGAATTGGTTGCATTTGCGAGTAAAATTTAAGAAATGCAACAAAATAATATGAAACACTTAGATTTTGGTGAGTGAGGTAAAAATTCAATTAAATTATGGCAGTTATTCCAGTTATCATCATAAATAGTTCCGACTTTGATTTATTTCAGAATTTATTGATAATTATTGCTAAGTTTAGCGACGAGTGACTTACCAATCGGTTAGAGTCTAAGGGACTGTTTACAAAATATTTATCAATAGTGACCTCTAATAGTGGAACTTAGTAAAGTTGACAATATGTGAACAATAACTGAAAATCTATATGCAACTAACATTAAGTTTTGGCTGGTAAATTCTAATTTTCACTAAGCTAATAACAAGTTAGTCAAAATATGAACTTGGAGCCCCGAAATCCATAAATACATTCTAGATTCTCACCCCAAGCTAATTGCAAAATATCAAAGAGAATTCTAAAGCATTGGCTGGGTAACTGAACTGGGTTTTACAACAATATTCCAGTGATGCCAGAGCTACAGTAACTTTTTGGGTCATTGAGTTATGTACTCACTTGTGTTCATCTCGATTGGGTATCCTAATTTTCCTTTGAGTAACCAAATATATTGTACTCACCTGTTAAAACTCAGTTGGGTATTTTGCCATTTTCCATCAATTCAAAAAATATAATAAAGTTTAAATGTTAGTGTTTGTTATTTACATTTGATCTGTAATATGAGAAACGATAAGAAAGACTGCAAGTTGTCAAGTTCATGTCCTGAAACAGAACCTCTCAATATACCTCAGTTATGTTATCTGGGGTAGCGCGTCATGCCGAAGACCCGGGTTCGATCCCCACATGGGTACAATGTGTGAAGCCCATTTCTGAAGCCCATTTTTGTGTGTACACATGTAAGATCACATTTATTGAGTAAAAAAATTCAAGCGTACTCGTACGCAATAGACGTAATAGGAATTGGGTTTTCACATAAATATTGGCGTAATTTAAGCAGATACTAGTGGTGGTCCGATTAATTGAAATAATCGAAGATTGGTCGCAATGACAAAACGACCATGCAATTGATCATGTTTTCTCATAATCGAACACAAACAAATTTGGACCACTTGTTTGCAATAACAATATTTATCAAAAGGTTGATTTTGTCTCGACACTGCATAAGCACTACAAGCTCATTCCAAGTCATGATTAAGTTTATCTTAACAACTCCAGGAAATGTATGTTCCTAACACACTAGTCATCCTTTAAAGATGTGAAATTTGCAAATGCATTTTGTGCAATTTGAGAAAAAAAACGAGAGAACTACATGTTTTTCTGTATATTTTGTGCATTAACAAACATAACCAGGAAAATTTGATAAATGACGCTAACCAATTATTTTCGATGATTGATCGCTTGTAATGAACCAATCATCAATTATGAGATTTACACCAATTCCCAACACTAGCAGATACGCAGCGTATCTGTACCTCTGAATGCCATGGCTGTCATCAAAGCCATAACCCATCATTTAATAATTATCAGTCAACAGAAAGAGTGGGATACAAAACCATTAACATGGAATTAACCAGCCACTTACAAACTAAAATATGTGAATAACTGACTGATTCCCTAGCTCGATCAGGGTATCAAACAGTCTCCAAATAGTGTTGCCAGTGGGGTTGGTAACCCTTAAAGTTAGCCAGTTTCAGTTTTCACAAGCATGACATTTGACTCTGAGATGGCATCAATAGCACAGACTCCAAAGCACTAAACAAATCAAGAGTCAAACAGGGGCAGATTTTCAGAAAATGAAATAAAAATTCTTATTTTGATTCACAAAGAGGAATAAAAGAAAATTTCAATATTCAAATTTCAGTAGCCAGTCATGTTCAGGATATTTCTGAATCCTAAGCCCGACCAGATTACGCCAGCAACAGTGAAAAGAAAACTAAGCAGTCGCAGGTAATCAGTAGGAAACATTTACTGGCAGTTGGTATTTTGCACATTGTGACAACTGCATATGCAGGGATGATGAAATTACATTAAACATTAACTTGTCATGTTTATTGAGTCACATATCTTCTTCACAGCTTCAAAATGCTTGGGGAAAACATAATAAAAACATTAACTGATAAAAACAAGCAAAATGTTGACAAAAGTCCTTGTGTGTATTGTAAGCTAAAGTTACTGAGACGTCTCAGTAACAGAACAACTACAACCAGCCTTCTACATACAGATCCGTATTAGGCTATCCGTAGTATTTAATATGTTTCTCATCTCCAACGTCAACCAGCAAGTTAGCTTCAGTCATTAGATCATTTGGTAATAGTCTCACAACTAATCTATGATATGGATCTAGTCTCTTTACTTTATAATATAGATGAGCTGACCTGGCCATAATTTTCCACAGCTGTGGTGAAAATTGAGATAAGGAAATCTTTTATTATTTTAAGTCAGAATAATAGTCTAGGGGAGGGTAAAGGGAAACACAAAGAAAACAGGGACAGTCAAACAGGCTTTGTGTAAGACACTAGAAAAAATGAACCATAGTGAAAACAGACTAGATGACTGGGCACAACGCCTTAAATGGTACATTTTTTCCGGTCCAAATCGACAAATAACAGTCAAAATGTACTAGTAAAATAGGTCCCATCCCATTCTGCCTACAATCCCAATTTGTCACAAACATCAACAACATTGAATCGAGAGACAAGGCAAAACATGCCTTGACTGACAGGAAAACACCATTTGAGTTCCTTGATGCTGCTGGACATTTGATTAAATTTGTAAAGTAATTGTTATTTGCTTGACCTCCTTGATAAATAAGGTGAATGAAATAAGATATCTGTATCATGACTGACTAAGTGATATGTATTTTGACTGACTGATCAATTAAGACTTGTCAAATTGACATATTTTTTCCATATTTTGTATATATGTATTATATTCCATACTATCACTTAATACAGTGATATTTTCCCTGATATGGACTTTTTTTGCCACCCAGATATGGGCAGGATCGGCATGGTCATATCTGGCTCCAGGCAAGATATCAATATCTTGCCCGCTGAGAGGTGGGAAGATTTTGATATCTTCCCCGTCAATTTTGTACATGTCACGATACGTTAATGAATCGAATGACGTCACATCAAGAATGACGTCATAGAGATGACGTCATGTTGGATCATCCTTTGATCATGGCCGGGGAAAGGACGCTAGCGTCTTTATCACGACGATCGCTTCAACTGGAAGATTTAGTGGAGAGGGAGGAGGAAGGAAATATGGAAATCAAAACGAAGCAGTATGTTGAAAGTTTTAAGTATGGTAACACAAAAAGGAAAACTGAATATGATCGATGTGAAAATTCTTCACACCTGGCTACAGTCGGAAGGCGAAGATAGGGAGATTGAGATGCAACCCAAACTAAAATCTTAATTTAGGCAGGTATTAATTGATAAAAAGATTATTACACTTCATTTTTCATATCTTGTCCGATATCATCCCTCAACCCATATCTGACCTCGGCCTAATGGCCTCGGTCACATATGGGTGTCTCGGGATGATATCAGGCAAGATATGAAAAATGAAGTGTAATAATCTCTACATATTTTGTCAATTCAATGATTATATATTATATTCCATGACATTTTGTCAATTCCAATGAATGAAATGATTTCAGAAAAAATAAAGATACATTATACCTAGAAACACTATATTTTACATTTTTTTCGGTATTGCCTACAATTTACCTTTGGTCAAGTTCATTTTAGTAAGGGTAGTATAGGTCAGCACATTAACCTAACTTCCTGATCAATGGAACATGACCATGGTGTTTTAACGTGTAGGCAGAACAGGACTGTAGACAGAATGGGAAGACACCATACAATGTTAGACAATATAAGCAGGGTGCAAAAAAATATTCATTAGGTCAAGGAGGCTTATACATAAGTCAAGCATGTTTTTCTGGTTGGTCAAAAGCATAATTAGTAATATTTAGATCACTGTAATCCCTTTTCAGAGAGAGTCAAATTTGTTTGAAGCCAAGGGAAGTTTCAATTGAAAAGTGGAAGTAGTGAAGGGAAACAGTCTATAATTTTCATACTGAATTAGAAAAATCTAGCATAAACAATGTAGACTAGTCTACCAAAAGAAAACTTGTCATAGTTATACATGAAAACATCAAGAATATTATCATATTTTATTACCCTTCAGGGTCATGCAGTATAGGGCACAAACTAACTAAAAATCATAGAATACCATTCCGGTATCCACAGAAAAACAACAACAAAGGTAACATGCTGCAACTGGAGATAAGAGAACATTTATAACTGTTTTGCAAATAAACATCTTTCATTTAATATTTTTCAGTTCACTTTGGTTACAAAAACCTGCAGGATTGTAGAGGTAATTAATTTTGTTTAATGTTGGAGTGATCTCTGTGAATGACTCTATTCAATCTTGTAGTATTATGACACGTGATATCAAGATACAATCATCGTTGCAGTGGATACGACCAAGGAAGGAAATATATATACCAATCAGTCCCGTTTAGGATAATTAAACATGAGTAGTTTCCGTTGTCATTAATAATCAATCATTGACAATTAGGTATGCCACGGTACATCGATACATCGATGCATCGATACTTTTTCTAAGACGATACATTTATCAATGCATTCAAAACTGTATTGATATTTAGTTTTGAAAGTATCAGATTAAATATGTTTATGTATCGTTTACATTTTGCAATGTATCATGCTTTTTGATGTTATGAGAGTCATAAATGATTATTTTTCATGCACAAAGATGGGAAATTAGAACTTTTTAATCTCTGAGAATAAAAAATGTTGATATTTTCATGGACAATTATATAATATGAAATATTATTGCTCAAATTGTACCTAAGTTTACACAATAATGCTTCGAAAATAGGTATCGTGATACTATCGAATCGTGACATGGGTATCGTGATATATCGATTCATGAAACTTAAGTATCGTGACATCCATATTTACAATAATTTAATGAAGGACACTGCACACAAAAATCACCTCGGAAGATGAAAACTTGCTGTCAGCGAGCTGATAAGACGATATTTAGCAGACGATGCTCTTATCGTCCAGACGCCACCACGGATGAAATTCATCTTGGGGGATGTGGATTCAGTACGAGTTCTTTTCTAAAAGAAATCACTATGATGTTTTGTTTTTACTAGTAACGAATGTACACATTATTTACATTTTACATATTCTCGATTTGCTAAGAAACATTTAGAGGGCAAAGAGCAATTCGCCGCATGGAGAACGCCATGTTTACAAAGCTATGCCATAAAAGTCAGTTTCGAATTATAAGAGACCACAGTCATTAGTCTTTACATTTTAAAATTATTTTTTATTAAAACCAAAACTTGTGTGTATGTTCTTTTTGGGACAACAAATGTATTGCACAATACTATGTCAAACGACAGTAATAACTAGGTTGGGTTGATCAATAAGACATACTTGTATCCGAAAAGAGAGACATATCTGATTCTTCAGATGGTGTGTAAATCTATTTCTAGAGACTCATTATTATCGTAATTATATGCATATTTCATCTTAAATATCGTTCATATATACATTAGACCTTGAGAAGTAAATGAACAAAATTATGCACAACAGATTCGGAAATATATTTCAGTTTTAGTATAAACCGCGAAGGGTAGCTTTACTCATGTTACAAGCACCTGTTTTCATCTTTGTGAAGTTGTTCCTGATAGGCTTAATTAATGCCTCTATCTGGGATACACAGGTAAAAACGAAAGTAGGAAACGGAAGTGCTCGAAAAACTGGTTTCTCACGGTCCAGTTATTGGAGTATGTCGTCGGAGTCAGGCGACACCCAAGAGAGTGTGGATAAGCCCGAGTCTCCGACTAATGTCAACACAGACGCGGAGCCCATGGTTGTAGATGTTACAACGAATGGGAACGAGGCAAAAAAGGTAGCAGACGACGAATTGGAACCCGAAGGTGTTAAAGTCTCAGCAGCAGAATAAAGATAAGAAAGAACAGAAAGTTGAAACATTTGACGAGACCGGTGACGACACGCAGAAATTTGACGAAGAAGAACTTGCTGACACACAGGAATTGACAGAACCTGACGACAGTCAAAATACAGCAGAAGAGACAACTCGCTCACGGAAATGTGATGACAAAGAAGATATTGAACAATCTGAAGATGATGTTAATTTAGATCGATATTATCCACTCTCTGACAGTGATAGTGGAAGTGGGAGAGAACTTGAAGCATTGAGAGAAGGCATGGGTAACAGTAAAACCAAGGACAAATCGAAACCTGGAAAGAGAGGTGGAACTACCTCCTACCAAAATGTAAGGCATAACAGAAGTTCAAATTGTTTATACTTATAGCATTTTTGAAAATTCTAATGAAACCAAAAACATGATTTTCTGTGTCTCCAGTTATCAATTATTGCCAGCACCCAGTGAAGTGTGTATATGAGCTCTAATTGTTGTGTTTGTCACGTTTTCTTGTAACTCTCTATTTATTTGATAACAATTCCAGTAAGACAGCCTATGTACCTTGCCAGATAAAATACATATATATAATATATATAAAACAAAAACTGTGCAACCCGCTGTTGTAGGGCAAGCCCATGGTTTTTTCTCTTTTTATTGCAGAACTACCGACATGATTTCATAAGTTCAGGAGAATATGTTATGCAAAATAATCTTTTAAATGATTTGCCAATGATACTAAAATATTGATCAGTATATGGGAATCAACACTTGAGTGGGCTTTGGAGCATAAGGATGGTCACCCACTCCTGTGTGCAGGTTTAAAGGAAATTGATCTTTCATTAGTTTGTGAGACTTAAAAAACTCCATTGTATATAGGTTCTTTATCAATGAAAATGATCCGAAAATGGGAAATGACCTGTAAAAGGTCACTGGACATGTTTTATTTTTTAATTGTATAGAAGGCATTTTAAATGAAGAGATATCGTTTACTGTGTATATTTGTCTCATAAACCAACCTAGAAATCAGCCACGAACACATTTTCTTCTGGTGATTCTTTTTCATCTTCCTGAGGAAAGGGAGTTAATTGACTACAAAAGCCCAGTTCCCTCCCTTGCCAAATCAGACTGGAATTTTGGAGTTCTGTTTTTGCTGAATCAATGAGTCCATGCATAGTCCATTACAATATCAACACCTGATTCTTAAACTGCCATGTAAATTTCTGTTGACAGCCACATTTGCAAAGCATTTATACTGTCAACTTGGCATCAACCGATATTTTCTAAATCTTGTTATGTATTTTGTTATCATGGTTATGTATTTAATCAAAGTACTCAAGTAAAGTAATAGACGTCATGGGGTTAACATCACTATGTTACCATTACAATGTAGATCTTCACCATATTGACTTTGCACGGCCATTTTGTTTGTAGTTATATGATAGGTGAAATCTCATGAGACAACAATCAAGCCATAAAAGTCCAGCCTTCCTTTCACCAAGCGGTAAGGTGATCGTAAGTCACTAAGGTAACCTTAGTGCAATGTTAAAGAATGGGAGTTAAGGTTGCTTCGTGAAAGGAGCCCCAGCTCAGTTCAGCAATGACTGAACTTGGATGTTTTCAGTCAGTTAACTCCCTTGCCTCATGACAATAGTTGTTTATATTTAAGAAGTAAGCTTAGGCCTATGAATCTTGTGTTGGTTCAGCATGTTCTCACGTTATATTTTAAGAATCTGACATATTTTTTCAGCAAATTTCTTTTCTCAATGTGTTACTCAAGATGTAAGGCTGTAATGATTCACTCGCATATTCGGTGAATCGAACCGTAGCCCTTCATGAATTCAATTTGTTATTCGTGGTCACCAGAACCGAGTATTCACGAATATTTACGATTTTTTTAAGGGAGCATGTTTTACTTGAACCCTTGTGTACTTTTAGAAAGTGAGATATGCAAGGATTGAATATGTACTAGCAATGCAGTAGTGCAAGTCATGTTAGTTTGCCAAGGTCGCACATGGTACTGTCGACTATAACTAGTACATACCAAATTTGAGTGTCATGAGATCACTGGTTATTGCTGTGACAAATCAAAACTGTCAACATGGGCATTCCATATTGTACATCAATCACTTAATTACAATATTGTATTCGTGAATAATTATTCGTATTCGTTACCTAATATTCATGATACGTATCATATTCACCACATAGTGTATTCGTTGCAGCCCTACTAAAATGGTTAACATTTCTCATGCATAAATACATGATGTATGGATTTAGTCAAAAGAAATATGTAGTGAGGGGACTTTTACCTATAGATATTGAACATGGTGATCCAAAACAAATATCTTAGCCCTTGAAAAGAATATGCTGGAAATGATGATCAGTTGCTTTATATTGGTGATGGAACATACACCATATTTCACCAATAGTCACTCTTAATAATTTAAAGAGGTTTCTCATCCACATATCTTATCCATCCTCAGCACCCAGTTTCTAAGTACCTTTCAACGAAGTTAAAATTATGTTTGACCTAAGTTACATTCTTAACTGTTTTCATATGTCTAGCTTAATGCTTTAAGTGTGATCGTATTTCCTCTAATAAGCACCTTGGAGCCAATTTTTCAACGGACTTCCTGACCCGGCGCTTGTTAGAGGTGTGGCACTTATTGGAGACCGACGCTTATTGCGCTTACTGGGTGTACCGTAATTAATTGTTAGTGAGTGTTACATCAAAGTTAGGAACCGTTCCTGAATAAATCTATTTTGGGATCAAGGGAGAATACATTTTTAACAAAACGTACCCAGCGCTTATTAGAGACCCAGGCGCTTATTTCTTAAACCTCTGCCTTACTCCCAGCACTTATTAGAGGAAATATGGTACATTGTCAGACATTAATGATGTTTGTAAGATCTAACCATGATGATAACCTGTGCCTACAGCTTGGAGAATCAGATATTTTACATCATGTCTGTCTATGACTGAAGCACATGTATTGTTTCTTCAGTCATCGAGCGACGAGTATGAGGATGCTTGGCCAAAACCCTGGAGATCTAAAGCAGAAAGGGTAGGCACTTTCCATCATGTTCCTTGAACAATGGTGAATGACTGCTCCATTTTCTTCCTTGATTTGTGCTAAGGTTCTATCAGTATTGATTGTTTTATTCTTCAGCATGTTCAGTGTTAAGGTCTGATGATGAAAGTATGTAAACATGGCTACTCATTAATGAGTACATGTACATAATAAGTACACTGTCAAGCTGTTAGAAATTAGCTCTAACCTCAGTCAGTGCAAGTATTACAGGATCATTCATCCTTGCCAAATCATTATAAGTGGTTCACTGGTCACCAAGGGGACATTGGTCGATATATCCTCTATATTTGTTCATGTTCCCTCAGTCTTGTTAATTTTGAACTGTTTAAAGCAAGGGTATTGGATCATAAGAAGAAGGACAAAGTTAGGCAATTAGCCAATACAGACAAAAACAAATTTAGAGTTATGTCCCTTCCATCGATTTCCATTCGCATAACGTCAATAATTTCCATGCATCGTACGTGACTCAATTATTCGAGATAAAGAATTACCAACATAAAGTACCCAATGAATTCCCACAGTTCAGCATTCCCAGCGGCTAACATAGAAAACATTACTCGCCTGTAAGCGTTATACCTTAAAAATAACAGGAGATTGCTTAGCCAATCAGAGGTAAGATAAGTTGTTATGTTGACATTCTGAACTCATGCCGCACCATGGCTTGTATAGTAGGTTTGTTGTTTAACACTGCACTCAGCAAATATTACAGCTATATGGCAGCGGGCTGTAAATAATCGAGTCTGGACCAGACAGTCCACTGATCAACATAAGAAGTATCAATCTACGCAATTGGGATAAGATGGCGTGTCAACCGAGTCAGTGAGCCCGACCACCCTATCCCATAAGTCGCCTTTTACGACAAACATGGGTTACTGAAGTCTAATTTGAAATGTGCAGCTAAAATGCCCCATTTATATTACAGCTGTGAGCCATGATGAGTAAGTCTGTTCCAAGTCACCATGGTTACCATGGATAGTAATCAAGATAGGGATGTTATATCGTAGGGAATGGGTCCAGGGTAGGTGTGAAATGGTATGCCACGGTATTAGTAGAACCGCAGCATTTTGCCTTCAGTTCGTTTTACTGCTATGCAATCTTTTCGGTTTTCAGTCCATCATTTTATTACCTGTTTAAGCATTTTTTTTAATTTATAGAAATCGAGATAGCCCCATTCAATCTCCAATCACGTCATACCATAAGACGTTAAAATATGGTGCTTGTTGTTCGCTGCCTGACGCTCGGCATTAATGGGTACAACAAGGACTGGTCGGCTTGGAGTCAGTATAATGTGTCTGAGTGGGGTATTCATGCTTCACTGCGGCATGGTATCTCAGTCAGTGGGCTATCACTATAAAACCAGCTTCAGTCAGGGCTAGTACAAGCTGCCGCACATACACATACACACGCATGCACGTCGCCATATGAGCGAAGTATTCTCAAGTACGACATTAAGCCCCATTTCACCTCGCCATCTGGAAATCAAATCATTTTGTCAAAATCTATGCATTTCTTTGCTAGATGGCTGCTATTTTTACGGAAGTAAGTTCTCATATACCAAAACGGACTGAACCGAAGGCCTTGTACCGCAATACGTACTGTACCGTGGTAAGAGCATACCATTTCACCCCTAGTCAAGGGTATATGAGATGGACTGAAGACATAATAACCTGGATTATTAAGGATGGTCCAGAACATTGCATTAGTAGCTGAAGTGTTGTTTTTTCCACTTTCATAAACATGAACAAAAGATGAGCGTCAGTTTCTCATGGTCAATAAATGCTTTTCACTAATCTTTATATAGCTTGTGAAGCTTTCTTAATTCCTAACCCTGATTAACATAATATATACCATACTGATTCAGAATGATTTGCCGAATGTATACCAGTAAGTACTGAAATAACCAGTGTGTGCAACTAGGATAAATATAGGAATATTTACAGAGGCTTAAACATGGTTAAGATCTTGGGTAAATATGACATCGTATTATATGATTCTATTTTCAATTAAAGCCTACTTCTTTGTATGCTGTAGGTTGATGACAGAGGAATAGTTATTAACAGGCACCATCATCGAAAACAAATAAAACATCACAAATTTGATATAGATATATCTGTTTTTATTAATACTGTGTATGTCAAGGTCATTCTGCCAGTGTCTTTTGTCCTTGTTAGTTGACATCATGCATCTGAGGCAGTGACAGAGAACTCATTCATCTTTGGCCAGAAGGAAATTTAAACAAATACATACAAAATATAGGGATGAAAATTGAGCATGTTATTCATCTTTCACTGATATATATCCTCTTCACCCATTTTATCATCAGCATGTGTATAATATGCCATATTCACCTCCAATAAACACTCCCATCATCAACTTCTAGACCAGTCTGAAATTAATCTTGATAAGCATCCCGGACAAAACCTGAAAATTGACAAGACATCCCACATTTTCTCATGCACAAACAGTAATCCATGTTTATTAAATATAAGGAATGCTTATGATAAACTGATGGAAACAACAAACAGCTTTTTCGGTAGTGGCAACCTGCTGGGGTTTTTTTTCCGTCAAATGCCAATGACGAACAGTTTTGAAAAACCTTTCGTTTCTGATTGTTCTTGACTGTTTGATCTCGAGCAATAAATTTAGTTTGTGTATGGTTTTAAGAAAATTGTCATTTTTCTAAGCTTTGAGGGTGCTTATTATCAATATTGCAGATGTGGTACGTGATATACACTTAATCATTGTTAATAGAGACAATTATGGAGCCCAACATTCAAGGGATTTTATCAAAAGAAATATGAAATATATCACCACAGTAAATGCTTGAAAAATACAACTTTGTTTCAGAATGGTCAGACTTTGAAAGAGATCATTACAATCCCCCAAGACACGCACACGCCGCACACGCACACACACACACACACACACACACACACACACACACACACACACACACACACACACACACACACACACACCACCACCCCACCCCACCCCACCCCACCCCACCCCACCCCCAAAAGAAGACAGTTTTGCAAAGTATTTTAATTTTTTTAATATGTTTTCATTATTTGGATTTCAAAATATTTGGCTGAAAGATATCATGTCTCCGTACAAACTCCCACAATAATGGATGGTCAGAATATGTATCCGTTAATCAACCATCATTGTTTGTTGTAAAATTGAGCCATTCTTTCAATTGAACTGAGAGATATTCACATGATCACACACTATTTGCCCTGTAGAAGTTCTGTTTGAACATAAGTATTGTGAAACGACATTTTTATATGATTATTATATTTTACTTATTTGGAGTAAGTTGAATTCCTAATAAGCATTTTAAATTGGATTTTGAGAATTTTCTTATCATTTAATGTTCAAAAAGAGGATGGGCTCTCTTTGTAGATCATCAGCAAGTTTTCCCTTGTCTTGTGTGTTAACTTAGCGTTTGTCAAATCAATAATCAGTGTATGCTTATGAAAATAGAATAAATATCTGTCTCGAAATGGTAGAATCATGCCTATACCCAAAATACCCACTGATGGGTGTGGAAATTGAGGAAATGATCACTTCTCTAGAGCATGTAGAGCTCTACTTACCCTGAACCCAGGTTAAGTAGCCTATTAGTTCGTGCAAATAAATGGTATAGATTTGTTTGTTGTTTACACTGCACTCAGCAATATTACAGCTGGACCAGACAATCTAGTGATCAACATCATGAGTATTCATCTACACAATTGGGATAAGATGATGTGTTTAACCGAGTCAGTGAGCCTGACCACCTTATCCCAAAAGGTGCCTCCTACGATGAGTATGGATTGCAGAAGTCTTAGATAGACTGTGGAACAAGGTTTTACTTCAATATGACGACTAGTTAATATACTGCTCACCTGTGAATTTAGTGTTGATCTTCGGGCAAAAGATGCATGTTGTAAGAGGCAATTAACAGGAATTGGGAGAAACGCTCGCTGTCTTGGATTATGCTTTTCATAGTATTCAGAGTATATAGATCTCAGAGCGGTGGGGTAGCCTAGTGGTTAAAGCATTTCCCTCGTCACACCAAAGACCCAGGTTCGCTTCCCCACATGGGCACCATGTGTGGAGCCCATTTCTGGTGTTCCCCGTCGTGATATTGCTGGAATATTGCTTAAAGTACAAAGATCTCATGATGTCAATCACTAAATTGTGTGTTCCAGGCTTGATTAATGATGAGCCTTTTGATAAAAATTGCTCTTTTGGGCGTTGCTGAAAAAACAAGCCGTAAGTGTTGGACTTGTATCCAGACAAGTAGATGTTGCCAGTATCTGGAAACTCTGATAGTCTCAGAAGATAGTCGACTTTTGAATTTCTACTTCTGTATTGTCTAACATGATGTTTCATTAATGACATGTTCCTCAGATCTGGACAGTTCTCATTCATGTCAGAGTAAACACTGACTCATTATTCTGGCTTTGTCACACCTCACTGTCTACATATTTGTGTAAGAATTACATCAAACTCTAGTTTTTAATATTCCTCTATATACACTAGTAATAACCTTACATTATTTCCTATCTTCAATTCACATACATGTATACTGCTAGAGTTGAAAATGACTGTGGTAAAATGAAACAAACGTGTGTTTTTCTACTTCTCTTGAGTGGAATATATTGTAATGAGAGCTTGACATGGTCACTAGCCCATTAGTTTGAAATGTGTAAATATGCAGTAGCGCAAATTGTTCTCACCAAGAATCATTTTATTTCACATTCATGACTCGCCTGAAATGAATTGTGGACTTGATGGATTTGTACAGTAGTATTTCTTCATGTTCAAGTTCATTTAAGCAACATTTGATCCACACAGCAAGTTAAGCCCTGTTATCTGTGAAACTCAACATGCATGCATGCTTTGGAGAGTGTAAACATCACCCTCCACTCTGATTTTGCTTTGAACAATGGTAATAGAATTTACTATGATATTTTCATAATGTCATCAAGTTTTGGTAGAGCATTGTTCTATGTCATTTCTACCTTTCCTACTAAATTCCAACCCGACCTATTTGGGGAATGTTAGGATACCTTTCTATTAATTATGTCAGAAAAAACTAAATTTTTCCTTATCCTGACACATGCTCTTTTGCTTGTCTTCTTCTTCTTGCGAACATAGTGGAACACTTGTATCTCCCTATTGAAGCTCCCTTCAATTGAAACATACGTAAAATCACTAATCACTACTCACCAAGAGTTGCCCCTCTTACATTATCTGAGTATCTGAAACAGTGTTTGTGAAAGGTTGTTGATTATTTATAACATGTTGTGTTCTGTTTTGTCATTTAATAGAACAGTTTCTTTTACCTTACCTGGGTGTGTTTCCCAGAAAGATATGTACACTGTATTATAGAATGAAAGTGATTTTCTGTTTTAGTCCAAGAATGCACGGAAATATCCGTTAATGAGGCGATGGAGTCAGAAAGACACGGAGGATTACAGAAAAGGTTATCCGGTAAGTGTCCTGGCGTGAAGGATTACAGAAAAGGTTCTCTGGTAAGTGTCCTGGCATGAAGGATTACAGAAAAGGTTATCCGCAAAGTGTCCTGGCATGAAGGATTACAGAAAAGGTTATCCGGTAAGTGTCCTGGCATGAAGGATTACAGAAAAGGTTATCCGGTAAGTGTCCTGGCATGAAGGATTACAGAAAAGGTTATCTGGTATGTGTCCTGGCATGAAGGATTACAGAAAAGGTTATCCGGTAAGTGTCCTGGCATGAAGGATTACAGAAAAGGTTATCTGGTATGTGTCCTGGCATGAAGGATTACAGAAAAGGTTATCCGGTATGTGTCCTGGCATGAAGGATTACAGAAAAGGTTATCCGGTAAGTGTCCTGGCGTGACGGATTACAGAAAAGGTTATCCAGTAAGTGTCCTGGCATGACGGATTACAGAAAAGGTTATCCAGTAAGTGTCCTGGCATGAAGGATTACAGAAAAGGTTATCCAGTAAGTGTCCCGGCATGACGGATTACAGAAAAGGTTATCCAGTAAGTGTCCCGGCATGAAGGATTACAGAAAAGGTTATCTGGTAAGTGTCCCGGCATGACGGATTACAGAAAAGGTTATCTGGTAAGTGTCCCGGCATGACGGATTACAGAAAAGGTTATCCGGTAAGTGTCCCGGCATGAAGGATTACAGAAAAGGTTATCTGGTATGTGTCCTGGCATGAAGGATTACAGAAAAGGTTATCCGGTATGTGTCCTGGCATGAAGGATTACAGAAAAGGTTATCCGGTAAGTGTCCTGGCGTGACGGATTACAGAAAAAGTTATCCAGTAAGTGTCCTGGCATGAAGGATTACAGAAAAGGTTATCCAGTAAGTGTCCCGGCATGACGGATTACAGAAAAGGTTATCTGGTAACTATCCCGGCATAAAGAATTACAGAAAAGTTTACCCGGTAAGTGTCCTGGCATGAAGGATTACAGAAAAGGTTATCCGGTAAGTGTCCTGGCCTCAAGTCTTCTCAAGTCAAAGTGCTTGAATATTTTGAAAAACTCTTGACTTTACTGGAAGAATGGCATTCAGGCATGTTTTGTTTTTTGAAGACCTTTAACAAGATGGTAGCACAGTTTAAGGTTAGGGTCGACTTTCGCTTTAACTTGATGATGTGTTAATTTCACAATTTACAATATACTGTGAACTATAATTAACAAGGTCAAGTGGCAAGTCAAGTACTAAGCCAAGAGCACCTACTTTACTAGTTTCCACTTGTCCCAGAAGTGTGTTTTCTTCTAAGCTTATCATTGTCAGAAATTTAACAGCATTTTAAAAGACTGTCATGTTGATGAGCTGTCATCTCTGTGTTATGCAATTAGTACAGTTTTCCTTTTCTTTGAATCAGTTTGAGCATATGTATGGAATTCAGGGAGAGGAAATAACTTGATTGTGAGAAAGAAAGAAAAGTGAGTGGGTGTGGTTTTATGCCACTTTTAGAAATTTTCCAGCCACATCACTGCAGGGGACACCAGAAATGGGCTTCACACACTGTGCCCATGTGGGGAATCGAACCAGGATCTTTGACGTGATAAGCAAATGTTTTAACCACTAGGCTAATAGTAATACACCGCCCCTTCAATGGAGGAGGTAGTTAAGTTCAGGTATTGTATGTCAAGGCGTATTGACATTATCTCCCATCAGTGAATGCTCATAATATCGATCACATGTTTCCAGGTTCAGACTTCACTGTTTTATTACAGAATGATGCAGCAAACAACAAACAAACCCAACTTGTTTATGATAATTCAGTAATCATTTGAAACTTTGGTCACTTACACTTACAATTATGTGCCACACTGATGAACAGACGTCATCTAATCCATTAAGACAATGGCTGCAAATGACTGTTGATTGGATGGGGAAAAGTATGTGGCCTGGTCAAGTGACACCTGTCACCTGGAAATATATGTCTCGAAGTTTGCCTGGTCAGACACCTAGAAGTCGGGGCAGTGGGGTAGCCTAGTAGCCTAGATGTTTGCTTGTCACGCCGAAGACCCGGGTTCGATTTCCCACATGGGCACATTGTGTGAAGCCCATTTCAAGTGTCCCCCACCGTGATATTGCTGGAATATTGCTAAAAGCAGCGTCAAACTAAACTAACTCACTCACCTGGAAGTCACTGACACTTTAATCACAGTTGTAAATGCAGATAATTAATGTCAGTGTTATGAAATTTGCATTGCTACTGTTGTGATAATGTGCTTGTCATTGATACATAAACACATTGCTTTTGAGAACAGCTAATCTCATGTGCTACTGAAATTAGTAGAAACTCGGGAAGCGTAACTTTTCAGTCTGAAATCCAGCAGAAATAATGTGTAATGCAGACTTGACTTGATGATAGTTACCATTGTAGACTAAACATCATGACTTATATCAGTAGTGACTGAAATCTGATTAACATAAGTCTTCTTCAGGTAACATATCTGTATGGTCTATGGCTTGTTTCAGGGAAAGAAGGACTGTTCTGGAACTCTAAACCTCGACTTTTATACAAACAGCATCTCATCTCGTCCCAATGGTATGTCTCATTTGTCTTAAGGTAAAACATATTGTGAGAACACTCTCTCCCTCTCCCTCTCCTCCCTCTCCCTCTCCCTACCCACAAACCAACCCAAACACCTGCTGTCCACTCACTAACCCAGTCACCAACTGACCCAAACACCTACCTGTCCACTCACTAACCCAGTCACCAACTGACCCAAACACCTACCTGTCCACTCACTAACCCAGTCACCAACTGACCCAAACACCTACCTGTCCACTCACTAACCCAGTCACCAACTGACCCAAAACCTACCTGTCCACTCACTAACCCAGTCACCAACTGACCCTAACACCCACCTGTCCACTCACTCAACCCAGTCACCAGCTGACCCAAAACCTACCTGTCCACCTCACTAACCCAGTCACCAACTGACCCAAACACCTACCTGTCCACTCACTAACCCAGTCACCAACTGACCCAAACACCTACCTGTCCACTCACTAACCCAGTCACCAACTGACCCAAACACCTACCTGTCCACTCACTAACCCAGTCACAAACCAACCCAAACACCTACCTGTCCACTTACTCACCAAGTCACCAACTGACCCAAACACCTACCTATCTACTCACTAACCCAGTCACCAACTGACCCAAACACCTACCTGTCCACACACTCACCCAGTCACCAACCAACCCAAACACCTACCTGTCCACACACTCACCCAGTCACAAACCAACCCAAACACCTACCTGTCCACTTACTCACCAAGTCACCAACTGACCCAAACACCTACCTATCTACTCACTAACCCAGTCACCAACCAACCCCAGCAGCTACCTGTCCACCCACTCACCCAGTCACCAACCAACCCAAACACCTACCTGTCCACACACTCACCCAGTCACCAACCAACCCAAAAACCCACCTGTCCACTCACTAACCCAGTCACCAACTGACCCTAACACCCACCTGTCCACTCACTAAGCCAGTCACCAACCAACCCCAGCACCTACCTATCTACTCACTGACCCAAACACCTACCTGTCCACTCACTAACCCAGTCACCAACTGACCCTAACACCTACCTGTCCACTCACTAAGCCAGTCACCAACCAACCCCAGCACCTACCTATCTACTCACTAGACCCAAACACCTACCTGTCCACTCACTAACCCAGTCACCAACTGACCCAAACACCTACCTGTCCACTCACTAAGCCAGTCACCAACTGACCCTAACACCTACCTGTCCACCCACTAACCCAGTCACCAACTGACCCTAACACCCACCTGTCCACCCACTAAGCCAGTCACCAACTGACCCTAACACCCACCTGTCCACCCACTAACCCAGTCACCAACTGACCCTAACACCCACCTGTCCACTCACTAACCCAGTCACCAACTGACCCTAACACCCACCTGTCCACCCACTAAGCCAGTCACCAACTGACCCTAACACCCACCTGTCCACCCACTCAACCCAGTCACCAACTGACCCTAACACCTACCTGTCCACTCACTCAACCCAGTCACCAACTGACCCTAACACCCACCTGTCCACCTCACTAACCCAGTCACCAACTGACCCTAACACCTACCTGTCCACTCACTAACCCAGTCACCAACTGACCCTAACACCTACCTGTCCACTCACTAACCCAGTCACCAACTGACCCTAACACCTACCTGTCCACTCACTAACCCAGTCACCAACTGACCCTAACACCCACCTGTCCACCCACTAAGCCAGTCACCAACTGACCCTAACACCTACCTGTCCACTCACTAACCCAGTCACCAACTGACCCAAACACCTACCTGTCCACCCACTAACCCAGTCACCAACTGACCCAAACACCCACCTGTCCACCCACTAACCCAGTCACCAACTGACCCTAACACCCACCTGTCCACCCACTAAGCCAGTCACCAACTGACCCTAACACCTACCTGTCCACTCACTAACCCAGTCACCAACTGACCCTAACACCCACCTGTCCACCTACTAAGCCAGTCACCAACTGACCCAAACACCTACCTGTCCACACTCTAACTCAGTCACCTACCGACCCAAACACCTCACTAACCCCATCACCAACCGACCCTAACACCTACCTGTCCACTCACTCACTCACCAAGTCACCAACCGACCCTAACACCTACTTGTGTTTGAGTCTATTACAGGATAGATAGATCATATTCTTGTGATACTTTGGAGATTTTGCAACTGTTATCCTGTATTGCAGGTGACAAAATTGATGTCATACACAAGAAATGGTTTGGAGACTATGACAGACTCGAGAGTCACCATGGTTACATACAGTGGTAAGTCGTCTAAAAGTGTGTTTGCAAAAATATTTACTGTTAATAATTACACATATAGCACCACAAAATCTAGTTTTTGAAATGTAAAGAAAATAAATTTGTTAACTTTATTTTTGTTTTCTGCCGAACTGTCGTTTCATTGACACTATCAACCTCATACCATATTGTATATTCAAATCGCAGTAGGCGATTTTGAATCTACCACATCTGCATGCAACATTTTCAGTAAATGTGAATTTTTAAACTTATCCTATCTCACAAAGAGCACTTTCTCTAGTTCCTTACACCATTTCTTGTGTCCCCTGCCGTGATATTGCTGGAAGATTGTTAAAAGCGGCGTAAAACCATGCTCAGTCAGTCAGTTAGTCAGTTCCTTACATCATGGAGTGTAAACGTTCTGGAACTAAGTTTCCAGCCTTTGGACAGCTCCTCCGAACACAGCCCTGCTCCAGTTACTGATATGGGGCATATGGAAGCTCATGCAGATCAAGTGACCTGCCACGGTTGATCATTCGACCTCCAGCTGTAGTGATTCTCTTTCTTGGTACATTAAGGTGCTGACGACCTATGTTGACACAGACCTTATTTTATATAAGAAGAATATATTTGTGATGGAAAATATTGTTCTTTTCATTGATACAGGTTGTTTCCTATTCGAGAGAATGGAATGAACTACTATGCTCAAGAGCTACAAGTTAAGGAAGCTGAGGTATGACAATATTCTATTTGGTGATCAGCATGTCCCTATCAGAGTTTAAATGACCTGTTTGCTGTCGAGCAGGTTCAGTTAAGATAATGTTTCAGCTTGGAAACTGTTTTGAAATTCAAGAGTGATTATTTCTCCTGTGTCAGTAATAAGTGCATACTCTTACCTGTGTGCCTTTACATTCAATATTTCAGCACAACTAGATTTAATGTTAACGTCCAAACTGGACTATGCTATTATATCCCCTGTGACAAACTAGTCAGGGGAGGGTTGACCTGTTGCACCGATATGGCCCTCACAAACATTTCCAAGACATTACATTCAGTGTAAACTTTGAGGAAGTAATTTTTGCTCACCTCAACACACTCATCACGCCAAAGACCCGGGTTCGATTCCCACATGGGTACAATGTGTGGAGCCCATTACTGGTGTCACCTGTCGTGATTTTGCTCAAATATTGCTAAAGCAGTGGAAAATCATGCTCACTCTCTCACTCTCTCACTCACTCACTCACTCACTCACTCACTCACTCAGATTGTTTTTTGAGAATGGGCCCTGAATGATAGGTTCTGGGCTTCCTTTCACAAAGCACTAATGTTAACGAGATCGTAAGTCGCTAATGTTAAGGTGATCGTAAGTCGCTAATGTTAAGGATACCTTAGTAAAGGTTGCTTCGTGAAAGGAATCCCAGCTCTGTTGTCTTAGAGCCTCTTGTCTTAGTTGCTTTCTGCAAAGGGATCTTTGCTGTGAGACGTCTGTAAGTCTTTCAAAATATGGGAGATACAATCATCTTAGTGCTGTGGTCTTCTATTGGATCCAGGCCTTGGACTATAAACTGTTGGTTTCAAATGTAATGTATTTTGTTTGTTGCCCAGGCAATTAAGAAGAACCCTGAGACTTGTGGACGAGTTTTAAAGTCCTACCAAATGATGCTGAACTTCTACGGGATGAAGCTGAAGGATGATGAGACAGGGGAACTAGAGCGAGACAGAGACTGGCGACAGCGCTTCCACCATCTCAACAGGTCAGTTGATTCATAGTAACTAGGGCTGGATATTGCCCTGATTTTCATATTGCGATATATTGCCATAATTTAAGAGATATTACAATACATATTGTGATATTTTGACTGGAAGGTTTCTGCCCAAATGTGTACATCTTAAATTCACAATAGCTGTCTGTGTGTGACATCATCATCTTCTGAGTTGCTGTTACACCATACTTTCAGGTTGCTCTTCATCACCATTGTGTATGGCTGTATGCCAATGGTTTACAGATAAATGAAATCATAGAGAGACTCAGTGTGGAATGTTTAATTGGAGTATTGCAACAAATGATGAAGGTGATAGTATAACATGATTTTCATGGTCAGTGTTGTTTGCTTCAACAGAATGTACTTCAAAGTAGTATGTAATTATTGTTACTTTATGTCGGTGATTCATTCAGATTCAACACCAATGTAAACAAGTGTTAGCATGAACTATTGCAAAATGAAACAAAGGCATGAATGACTTGAGCTTAAAATATCATGTGACCTCTAATAATTAAGATCCTTGACTTGAATGCCATGATACAGTCCTACAAACTTCATAAGACTTAAGCCTTTGTGATCAATTGATAACATATGTCCTATTATGAAACAATCAAGCATAATAAAATAATGAGAATTGTGAAATGGCCACCCAGAGCCAGAGGCTCTACTTATAAGTCCAAATAAAAAATTGGTCCATTTGAGGCCACATAATTCCTCCAAAATAGTCACATATGAAACCATTCAAGCCCACAAAACTAAAAGCATTTTGTAGAATATTTGGCACTTTTGAAACCACCTATAAAGGTACTTCCATTTGTAAAATGCTACATGAAACCAACAGAAATAAAAATATATTTGTGATTTTTGTTGCTACGGAAATCAAGGGCAGATAATTCAAAGGGAGCAAACTCTGGATAACCCAATATATTGCAGAATGTGAATTATATCCTGATAATCGTAATACTGCACAGCCCTAATATGTATGTAATGTGCTTTCTTTAAGGGGAGTGTCATTGAGCAATTAATGTTAAACCCAAACTGAAATTTGTGCTTTTGTGTGATTTTTCTTGTGCCCAGATTTTCAATGCATAGGTTCTTGGTTGGTTGTTTAATGCCACACTCAGCAATATTCCAGCTATATGGAGGCGGTGTGTACATAATCAAATCTAGATCAGACAATCCAGTGATCAACAACATGAGCATCGATCTACGACACTGGGATACAATGACATGTGTCAACCAAGTCAGCGAATCTGACCACCCGATTGCATAGTTGCCCCTTACATCAAGTATAGGTTGTTGAAGACCAATTCCAGCCAAGATCTTTATGGGTACGTCCTAACTGGCATTTCAACATGAAAGACATGAAATCCATGGGAAGACATGAAATCCAGGTTTTTCTTTTTCTCCAGCTCATTCAACACTCAAGGTTTCAGATCACAATCACTACATCTGATTGATGCCAGTCTGATAGCGGCATGACCATATTGGCTAATATTTGTAGAAAACTACTTCTTTCTCAGTCTCATATCTCAGTTTAGAATTGTACTTTCCTTGCTACAATAACCAGTGTTGCAGCTACAATTTATTAATGTGGCAGTACATTTGCTCAAAAAGATAAAATTTCCAACTTCCATTTCAACTTTTTAGGACAATAGAAAACTTGAAGTTGCTCTTGAGATGCCTTGCCTCTTCAGTTAGAGATTTCAAAAATTGTGATTGACATCATACCCTTAATATTATAATCATAGTCTCATAGTAGTGAACTACTTGTGAGGTACGTACCAGAGCTTTAAGTCTAAAGTCTATCACTTGGGGCTTTCTGGAGATTTCACACACAGTGAAAACTCTTTACAAGAACTCTCTTTACATGAGCAACATAAAATCTAACTCTCATTCTTTTTCGCACTAACTTACTCACTCACTGACTTACTCACTCCATTTAGGGGCGTGGGGTAGCCTAGTGGTTAAAGCGTTTGCTCGTCACTCCGAAGACCTGGGTTCGTTCCACACATGGGTACAGTGTGTGAAGCCCATTTCTACTGTCCCCTGCCGTGATAATGCTGGAATATTGCTAAAAGCAACGTAAAAGTCAACACACTGACTCACTCACTATAATGCCAGCATTTGTCCTGACTAGCACAAGCAAGCACACACTTCACCTCGCCTCGTTTCCTGCCTCGCCTCACCTAACCTCACCATTAAGAAGACAACTTCTCTCTGTCTTTTCCCAACCTCTTTACATGGAATCCAGTGAAGGGTAGAAAAATCGAAGTTTTTGAAAAGGGAAATAACTCCATTCAGCCTAACATTCATGATCATTGTAAATTGTCACTGATTATGAGCCATTGGTCTTGTAAACCAGGTGATAAGCAGCATCATGCCACATAAGATATTGTGGAGCTGAATCCACTGCTGGTATACACCATGAACAGTACTCAGTATATGCTATGTGCACTGATGCACTACGTCAGGTCACGCGGTCATGGGTTTGATTCCCACATGGGTACAATGTGTGAAACCCATTACTGGTGTCCCTTGCCGTGATATTACTAGAATATTGCCCAAAGCAGCATTAAACCAAAGTCACTCACTCAGTCTTGAGTCCCTGACCATAGCAGATCACTGGCCGCGACATGCTTCTGTTGAAATACAGTGTTTCATGTTGAAGTGAGATGTTATATATTTAGACCTCATATTGAAGTTGACCCGTGAAGATCTAGGTTGGAATTGATCTACAGTAACCCATTCTTGTCATAAGATTGGGTGGTCAGACACACGTCATCGTATGCCAGTTGCATAGGTTGATGCACATGCTGTTGATCACTGGGTTGTTGTAAAGCTTAACTCACTCATTCATATTGAAGTAAGGTGTATCATATTGGGACTGGTTTGTGTTGAAGTCAGGTGTTATATATATATATTTAGGCCTCATGTTGAAGTAAGGTGTATCATATTGGGACCGGTTTGTATTGAAGTCAGGTGTTGTATATTTAGGCCTCATGTTGAAGTAAGGTGTATCATATTGGGACCGGTTTGTATTGAAGTCAGGTGTTGTATATTTAGGCCTCATATTGAAGTAAGGTGTATCCTATTGGGTCCGGTTTGTATTGAAGTCAGGTGTTGTATATTTAGGCCTCATATTGAAGTAAGGTGTATCATATTGGGACCGGGTTTGTATTTGAAGTCAGGTGTTGTATATTTTAGGCCTTATATTGAAGTAAGGTGTATCATATTGGGACGGTTTGTTTAAAAGGCAGGTGTTGTATATTAGGCCTCATATTGAAGTAAGGTGTATCATATTGGGACCGGTTTGTATTGAAGTCAGGTGTTGTATATTTAGGCCTTATATTGAAGTAAGGTGTATCATATTGGGTCGGTTTGTATTGAAGTCAGGTGTTGTATATTTAGGCCTCATATTGAAGTAAGGTGTATCATATTGGGACCGGTTTGTATTGAAGTCAGGTGTTGTATATTTAGGCCTTATATTGAAGTAAGGTGTATCATATTGGGACCGGTTTGTTTTAAAGGCAGGTGTTGTATATTTAGGCCTCATATTGAAGTAAGGTGTATCATATTGGGACCGGTTTGTATTGAAGTCAGGTGTTGTATATTTAGGCCTCATATTGAAGTAAGGTGTATCATATTGGGACCGGTTTGTATTGAAGTCAGGTGTTGTATATTTAGGCCTCATATTGAAGTAAGGTGTATCATATTGGGACCAGTTTGTATTGAAGTCAGGTGTTGTATATTAGAGCCTCATATTGAAGTAAGGTGTATCATATTGGGACGGTTTTGTTTTTAAAGGCAGGTGTTGTATATTTAGGCCTCATATTGAAGTAAGGTGTATCATATTGGGACGGTTTGTATTGAAGTCAGGTGTTGTATATTTAGGCCTCATATTGGAAGTAAGGTGTATCATATTGGGACCGGTTTGTATTGAAGTCAGGTGTTGTATATTTAGGCCTTATATTGAAGTAAGGTGTATCATATTGGGACGGTTTGTATTGAAGTCAGGTGTTGTATATTTAGGCCTCATATTGAAGTAAGGTGTATCATATTGGGACCGGTTTGTATTGAAGTCAGGTGTTGTATATTTAGGCCTTATATTGAAGTAAGGTGTATCATATTGGGTCCGGTTTGTATTGAAGTCAGGTGTTGTATATTTAGGCCTCATATTGAAGTAAGGTGTATCATATTAGGACGGTTTGTATTGAAGTCAGGTGTTGTATATTTAGGCCTCATGTTGAAGTAAGGTGTATCATATTGGGACCGGTTTGTATTGAAGTCAGGTGTTGTATATTTAGGCCTCATATTGAAGTAAGGTGTATCATATTGGGACCGGTTTGTATTGAAGTCAGGTGTTGTATATTTAGGCCTCATGTTGAAGTAAGGTGTATCATATTGGGACCGGTTTGTATTGAAGTCAGGTGTTGTATATTTAGGCCTCATATTGAAGTAAGGTGTATCCTATTGGGTCCGGTTTGTATTGAAGTCAGGTGTTGTATATTTAGGCCTCATATTGAAGTAAGGTGTATCATATTGGGACCGGTTTGTATTGAAGTCAGGTGTTGTATATTTAGGCCTTATATTGAAGTAAGGTGTATCATATTGGGACCGGTTTGTTTTAAAGGCAGGTGTTGTATATTTAGGCCTCATATTGAAGTAAGGTGTATCATATTGGGACCGGTTTGTATTGAAGTCAGGTGTTGTATATTTAGGCCTTATATATTGAAGTAAAGGTGTATCATATTGGGTCCGGTTTGTATTGAAGTCAGGTGTTGTATATTTAGGCCTCATATTGAAGTAAGGTGTATCATATTGGGACCGGTTTGTATTGAAGTCAGGTGTTGTATATTTAGGCCTTATATTGAAGTAAGGTGTATCATATTGGGACCGGTTTGTATTGAAGTCAGGTGTTGTATATTTAGGCCTTATATTGAAGTAAGGTGTATCATATTGGGACCGGTTTGTTTTAAAGGCAGGTGTTG